AGTGAGAAAACACAGCTCCCAATAAAGAGCCGGCTCTAAGAGCCGTTTCGTTCGCAACCGACCCATCACTACTAGCTAGTAAAGAAACTACCGCTATTAGCCTTTAGCCGTAATTGCTGCGCGCCGCGGTGATTAATTATATGCATAAATGTGGATCATTCACATTTCTATTCACAGCTCATTTACATATTATTGCAGGTCCAGTAATAAATATACAGCCAATAAAGTTACTTTACAATAGGCCAATAAAAAACAGTCTGTTTATGTGTGGGAGCTACAGCAGCTAATAGCTAACCAATGAGAAAGAACCAAAACTAGCCTGAAAGTCGACATATTTCCAACACTCCGCGCTCACACAGGCTCCTCCTCACATCACAAGTCAGCACTAATAAATGTCCTTTTAATCCAGATTCAAACCGATTGTCTGTAAAAAGAAGATAATCTCAGTGTTGCGCACATGGATGCGGGTCTAAAAAAACGCACATGATTCTGGGGGTGTGTTCAGGGACAGTACGGACACACACAGACAAATGACTCCGCAGATAAATACTGATGCAGAGCCACATATTAGGACATTTGTCTGTCTGTAAATTGGATTAAAATGAACATAATGTAGAGAGTCTAAGATTTAACGAGGTATAACATGCCCACTTGAAATATCGGCTCATATCAGCAAACATATTGGCCGATATGTCTCCAGGTGCTAATATCGGCCGATAATATCAGCCAACCGATATATCGGCTGGGCTCTAAACAAAATATTAAGTTAAGGGAACCATCATTTTTGTCCAGACCGGTTTCATTTTTTTCTCTAAAAATTCTGTTGAACCACAGGTGAAAAACTATGTAAATTTTTATTTATTATTGCTTTTATCAGTTTCAAGTTATTTCAGTGATGATATATATATAGAGAGATAGAGATAGAGATAGAGATAGATGAGCTTCATTTGTCACATTCACTCAGTTCACTTCTTTATATGGTCTGTAGTTGACTAATGTTATCAATCCAAAAAAAAATTAACACATTCATCTTGAATTAAGGCAAAATAATCCTGCGTCCTGTTTTGACCAAACAGTCTCTTTTAGATGACACAGAGAGCTACCTCAGAGCCAATCACACATGCATGCAGCAATGAAGGCCCTTTAACCTACTAAACCTGGTCATGTAGGCGCATTTAAACGACCTGACCCATGTGACCACACAAGTTCAACTTAAAATACAGTGAGAAGGCTAGAAGGCTTTATTACTTAATCATATAGTACTGATTATCACACTATTGAAATATACGTGTTTATTATTTTTATTATTATTATTAACGACAACAGAATATAACTTTTAAAAAAATACAGCAATCAACATTTAACAAATTACAATAATCAGTATAAAACAAAACACAAAAACATAAAGCCACACCCACAACACCCACAACAAATACAAAACAACAAAAAAAAGCCCCCATTTCCCACCGACCACGCACACCGACCCAAATTTGGCTAAATTAAGCAAAAGTAATATGATAGTGCAACATAAACACACTGCTAGACCCCCTTACATTGACACATTACAGCCAATTCATAATTGAAATTCCTTTTCTCACTCTTCCTTCCTCTTTATTATTATTATTTTTCACCATCATCATTTCCTTTCATAATTTTTGTTATTTATTACAAACTCAAATAATAATTTTAAAGGCATTTCTTTTTTTTTTTCATAATAATAATAATAATGCATCAGTTTTATATAGTGCTTTTTTGGACACTCAAAGATGCTTTATAGAGCATTATTCATTCACTCCAGACCCGGTGGTGGTAAGCTACGACTGTAGCCACAGCTGCCCTGGGGCAGACTGACAGATGTAAGGCTGCCAATCTGTGCCATCGGCTCCTCCGACCACCAGCATCACTCACACACACACCACATTCATACTAGGCAATGTGGGTGAAGTGCCTTGCCTAAGGACACAATAACGCCCCCCTGTGGCATCTGATTTTTCCCACTGGTCTCCCATCCAAGTACTAACCAGGCCACCTTGAGTTGTGCCCCCATCAGTCACCCGGGCCACCTGGCTCAACTGGGCTGCACCTTTCCAGCCCCGCTAAGTTCTCAAGTCTGCTAATTTTGTGGTTCCTGCTGCCACAAAGGCCTGCCTTAGCTGATTGGAGTCCAACAGACTACTCCTCATCAATGGGTTGAAAAACAGGGGCTCCTGCCTCGCACACCCATATGGTTCCTCTCTGGAGCATTCTACCACAGAGCTCCAGGCCTTCAGAACCGAGCGGTAGAAAACGGAAGTCCCCTACAGGTCTACTTCCTTGAGGTTCAGCAGGAACAGGTACTTACCATAGCCTAGGCCTCCTGTACGGCACAACAGGACAGCTGTTGTGGTCCATACAGAAGCCGCTACACCGTCCTCAAGCAGAGGACTGCCAGTCGACTGGAGAGGTCCATGTCATTCATCAGTGTCTATCATATTCCAATTTTTTTTGCATTATCATTGTAGGCAGAAAATTATATATAATTTTGATTTGAAAAAATCTATTTTGTACATCAATAATGGTTTGATAAATTAATTTAAAAATCCACTCCCATGATAAGGGGCACTCAATTGTGTCCTCCCACTTTCTCAGTGTATTGTAAGAGATCTTCTTTAATGAGTGGTATGATAAAAAAAACAATTCTTCATATTTAATGATCTTACCATTTTCATTGGTTAGATCAATTATAAAAATAATACCCTTTTCAAACATTTTTTTTCCAAAAGAGAGGTTTCCTATCTATCACAATATTTGAATTGTACCATATGATCTGTTGTAGGATGTCATCTTTTTTTTTTCAGGTTATGAAATTGGAAGCACCACCATGTATGCATACATTCTTTTATAAAACTAGATGTATTCCCATCTAGAAAGTGGGAGGGCATCAGTTGTAAAAAGGGATACAGCTTTTGCTGCCATACTAAGTGTTTTTTGTCCAACAAATTACTTGTGTACCACTTTGCATTCAAGTAAAGTTTTGGAACCATTGATACTTTTAGAGAGAAACACAGAGCTTCTAAACTGAGCAGTTTAAAGCTCCCACTGTTATAATCATTATACAAAACCCCTCTCTGAATCTTCTCTGGTTTTCTAGCCCAAACAAAGTCAAAGATCTTCTGCTCATAGAGAAGTTTTGTGAAGGAGATGGCCATGACATAAATAAATATATAAATTGAGGAACATTAATAGAATTAACAATGGATACTTTTCCATATAATGTCAAAAATTTCCCTTTCCATAATTGAAGAATCTTATCATTTTCATTTTTCTTAATTTATTACTATCATTAACTGAACATAAGTCTTCAAGATTCTCTGGGATAACAACACCTAGTACATTTAATGGCCCATCAATCCATACAACAGGTACTTTACAATCCATAGTAAACTTTTACCTTTTAAACTGCCTATCCTCAACATTTTACACTTATTATAATTCAACGTTAGTCCAGATTGTTGGGAAAAGGATTCCAAAAGGTCCAATAGATTTTGTAAACAATGAGGTTTAGGGCAAATAAAGAAATGTGTGTCATCCACATACGTTGATATTTTTGTTTCTATGTAGTTATTAATAAGCCCTTTAATAGCTAATATTTCCATTGCAATAATGAATAAGTATAGCGACAATGGACATCCTTGTTTTAGGCCTCTTAAAAGGGGGATTGACTCTGAAATGTGTCCATTATTAATAATTCTACAATTTGTTTTGTTATACAGTGTTTTAACCCAATTTATTAGAGAGTCACCAAAGTTAAAGAAAGAAAGACTTTTACATATAAAATCTAGATTGATTTGATCAAATGCCTTTTCTTGATCTGCAACAAAAATGTGTCCCTTTTTATTCTCTGTATTATAATTTTCAATTATTTCCAGCAGCTATCTAATGTTATGACAAATATTTCTACCATGTAAGAAGCCAGATTGATCCTGGTGAATGATGGAAAATGGATTTAAGTCTTCGAGCTAAACATTTAGCCAGTATCTTTGCATCATAACACTGTAGAGTAATAGGTCTCCAATTCTTTAAATATACTGGGACTTGGTACTGACCATTAGATTCTTGTTTCAATAACAATGAAATAAGATGTTCTTTTTGAGAATCAGTCAGATACCCCATTCTGTATGAGTAATTAAAGCTCAAGAGTAATGGTTTCTTGATTTCTTTGAAGAATGTTTGATAAAATTCAATAGGTGTTCCGTCTATTCCTGGGGTTTTCCCTTGTTGAAAGGACATGACAGCTTCAAAAAGTTCCTCCTCACTTATAAGGCCTTCACTTAGATGTTTTTCTAATTCATTCAGTTTTCCATCAAAATTCTTTGGGAAGAAATCTTCAGTATCAACAGGAATTACCTGATGTGAGAAAATATTCTTATAGTAATTTTCAATTTCTTTTAATACTGTAGATTGTGTAGGTAATATGCTTCAATTTTTTGTAACTATCTTATATATTCTTTTTAGAATGATTTTTCGTTTGAAGGTTCAGAAAGTATTTAGAGCATTTTTCTCCTTCTTTCATCCAGGTTGCTCTTTTAAGGTTGTAGCTTTTTAGTAAACTATTTTCTACCAGATCAGTTAACTCCTCGTGCTTAGCTGTTAGAGTGTCAAATTGCTCATTTGTTGAATTTATGTCTTCGTCTATTTTTTGTTGTAGTTTTTCAATATCCTTCTTTTGGTCTGATTCTTTTACTTTCAGTTTTTTTCTTTTCCATGATGAATAGGCAATAACATGTACCCTAAAGCTACAGTTAAGCACTTTCCACACTATAAGGGGGTTTGAAGATCCTTCATTATATTTAACAAAATCAATAATGAAAACTATTTTTTTCAATAAATTCACCATCTTGTAGTAGCATTTGATTGAATTTCCAATATCCACGTCCACGTATACTTTCTTCTATTACAAAAATTTACCCTATACTATTATGGTGGTATGGTATATATGTGTTTGTTTTGTGTGTGTGCAGATGTGGATAAAGAGGGAGTGCTGATAACAGAATTCCCAGCCAGTGCGAGTGCTCCACAGCTCGGGGCCGCTCAGCTCGGGGCCGCTCAGCTCGGGGCCGCTCAGCTCGGGGCCGCTCAGCTCGGGGCCGCTCAGCTCAGGTGTCCTGTGTATGTTTACAGTTGTGCCCTGGAACAGCTCAGAGAGCAGCTGGTGCAGCCTTCCTCTAGTCGCAGGCCCAATGATGTCTTCCTCAGGTGACCACTCTGACATCACTCCATTCACACACTTTTATTTTTTCACAGAGAAGTCTGATTGAGTGTGCTTAACCACTGAATTCAAAACGCATTTTCCCCAAAACTTGTCTGGGCCACTCTTGTCCCAGCGTATAGCAAATCAAAGAACTCAATAGGTGTGAATGGGGGGGTACGAGGCTTTAAGTGCTTTTATTAAATTACCAGTTATAACTGTAAAGTTTTAGTGCTTATACAGACAAAAACAACTAACATCCTGTAACCACATTTAAATGGATAAGTGACATCTCATTTACCTTGATCATTATAGTCATTTGCATCTCTGCAGCGCAAATAGGTTTTCAATATGTTTTCAAAGTTTTTTTAACTGTTATTCAATTAATTTTTGTTTATTTATACTATTTTTTACATTTTGGATACATACAGAAGACATCAGATATATGAAGCTAGCTCTATGGAATTATGTAGTAAAGAAGAATTTTAAATACTTAATCTTTTTTTGGCAGAGCTAAGGGTGACTACTTTGAGGATTTGAATATAAAATATATTTTTAAAAATTCAGTTGAGTTGTTTAACTTTTTTTGCTACATAATTCTATGCATCTTACTTCATATATTTGATGTATCTATTTGAAGTTGTAAATGTATAGAAAAAACAATTTAATAAGAGGTTTGTCCACACAATGACTGGTAGTGTAGATCAGACTATATGTCAGACAGGGCTCAATCAAGGTTGGCTGGTGGAGTGTGTGTGTGTGTGTGTGTTAACAGTTGTGTTCATTGTTGCCTCTGGAGGCCCACACCTCCTACAGAGCTGTGGGACTTGGAGATACAGCTCAGGTAGATCTTCCTTCTCTTCTGGTCCTACTGAGCACAACCCCATCACAGTCACTGCACTACCTTTTTCTCACTATTACTTTCTATATTATAATCTTATGGTCTTCACCCAAAAAGTGACACTACTTATCCACTCCAAATCCAAACTCCAGTCCCTGTAATGTAACTTAGGATTATGTCACATAGAAACAGAGGGAGGACCCAAAATGCAGGACTGCTGTAAAAGTTCTTTAATAACAAAGAAAGATCTAAAAATCTATCCAAAATTCGAAACTAAACTGACATGATAGGACAAGATACTGACAATGACAAATACAATGGACCAACAAAGGGCAGAGGAGAACACAGGGTAAAAATGCACTCAGACACAGGTGAAATACATGGGGCAAACAATCAACAGACAGGAAGTAAAACTCAAACTACAAGCAGACAGGACAAATGTCAAAATAAAACACCAAGGGCACGCAACACTACAGGAAAATATACACCAAAATAAGCAACTACAGAACATGAACTATGACAGATCAGGCAATATGCTGGAAAAATAATATCTTAAAACCAGATCACAATTTCCATTTCACCATTAGTCATGTAGACATCCTCTGCTCTTTAGAATTCACTTTTCATTATGGTTGATTCTATCTCTCACTTAGAGCATAGCAGAGGTAAAAGTGCATTAAACAGAATTACTGAATCATGATCTGACTATATCAACAAAATTGTATATCATCTAAAGGATGAGGTCACAATTCAACTTTTCAGGGTGAAAAAATGGACCACAGCACTGTGGTCCAAGACAAGAAAAATATATGATCAAGGCTTTTTTTGCCGAAACGTTATTTTGTTAATAAAAAATCTTTTGGACATCGGCCAACTGAGTGTGCAATGCATTTTTTCACCCTGGTCTGGCTGCTTCTTGCATTTGCACCTCTACAAGAATTTTGGTGTGCATTTTCTGTTTCTTTTGACACAATTCAACTTTTACCACAATATGGCCTGGCCCTAATGTAACCTAAACTTCATCTCTATAAGTGTGATAGTGAGTCAAAGGTAGCAGATAATGGTGGTGGAGGCTTTGGCTCTGGCTGTGGAGCTGTGAGGTTCTGGTTGAGCTGGGGATGTGCTCCTATGGATTGATACTGTAGACTGGTTAAAACCACTAACCCTCTGAGCCTTGTTGCGCTGGTGTGCTGGTATCTCCTTGTAAGCATCATAGAGCATACTGACACTTACAGCTTGTCCTCTTTGTGTTTCGGTCATGTGTCATTTGTGTTTTGCAGGCAGCAGTCCAGGGGGCAGTAGCATCACCATTCATTCTCTGAGGATTTAGCCAAGTTGTGCTAAACTATATACATTTTTACATTTCAGGACACTAGCAGCAAGTTACGGATGAATAATCACAGACGGCATGTTAAAACCTACGATGTACTATGATGTAAATATTGTAATACATCGAAGTATTCTTCTGTATTAGGAACACAGCGGGAAGTGGGAATCTGTACTTTTAAGAGAAGCGGAACTAACCAGATGACTGCCTGAAAAGTGTTGATTAAAGCATAGGGGGAGAGAATGAGAGAAGTGCAGGAAGGCTGTGTTGAAGGAGATAACGGCAAGATTGATTCTCGCAATATTTGTGATTTCACAAACTCATGAGAATCCATCTTGAGAGACTTCTGCTGTAAGGTTCAAACTCGTCCAGCAGCTGACCAATCACAGACCAGGAGACTCCAACAGATGTACTTCAGCCTATTTTACTGAAACCACAGACTATTTAGTTAGTATACAGGGAAGTGCTTTGTGCTTTGTGGACGGGGAAGATGTCTGTGCTTTTCTCTCAATATGATGTAACAAAAGTTAGATTTTTCTGCTTGTTCTGCTGTTGTGGCGCTTTGACCAATCTGATTTAAATACAGTCTCGGTCATAATGTCTGTTGTTTCTGATCACTTTTAGAGACCGGCATTCCAGATTGCTAAATGTATAGAACTCAGTTCCGAGTGACACATAATAATTTGGAGTGAGGCAGGTTATGAAGGAGGAAGAGGGAGAGAGAAGGGGCAGAGAAGGAGATGCAGAAGATAAATTGTCATGTGATACCTTTACTGCTTCCCGTCTGGTGAAATGTATTAGTTCAGTTCTTAGCCATGGGCTGATGACTTTAAATAGCTGCATGTCGTGTCTGAACTTGTTTTTTGTGAATCTTGTGAAACATCCAGCATGTAAAGGGGTGGGCTGTCTGGTGCTCGACTTGTTTGGTCTGTGGAGGGACATGTAGCTGTAGACATATGGGCTTATTCACTTAAATCTAATGTATTCATTTTAATCAAATTGCTGGTTGGTGATTGGTTAAATTGATCAGTAGTTATCACTTTTTAATCGATCTACAGCCAATCTATTTTTTAATGGTGTAGGGTTGTCAAAAGTAATGAAAATGACTACTATGCTAATCAGTATTAAACTAGTATTGATGCCCATTTAAGAATTTTGAGTACAAAAAAAATCACATAAAAAGGGCAAAATTGACCCTTCTGTTAACAGTTTTACAGTAATGTTAGAATATCTAGAATCTTGAGAATTATGTGAACTAATATATGACCACACAAGTACTGCCTTAGTGTTGAAAATTACAGTCTATTGTCTAAAAAAATTTTATTATTGTGGTGGTATCGAAATCGGTATTGAGTCTCAAGCCTATTTCTTAGTGTTGAATTCTAAATCACTTGTGTGTGCTGTGCAGGAGTGTGTCCCAGGACCGCAGCAGCCCATCCCCCTGGCCCGAGCTCCTGTCCCAGCCACACAAACACAAGGAACTGGCCCACTACTGCAGCCTGCTCCAGGAGCACTACCACCAGAGCTATGTCAAAGGTCCCACTGCACCACCTCAGACTTTACTGTGATACACTGCCATTCTCTTTGATCACTTGTTGAATTACCTTAACTAGCTTTATATTTGTTTTCCCTTCTCATTTACCCACTCAAAATAGTATTTTGAGTGATTCATGCATGCTTACGTACTCTTTATTCCCATGCTGGCCAATGCTGGCCAAAGAGACTTAAAGTAGTAGTTGACTACCTCCATTGTCAGGTACAGGTAGCTCACAGACTGCTGTGTGTGTTGTTGTGGACAGGAGTGTACCGCAGCCTGCAACAGTCCTACAGCATCAGTGCTCAGGATGTCCTGCTGGCTATGGACTACTGTGAAGAGTCCCTCCAGGAGATGGACATCAGCGCTTTCCTGCACACGCTCTGTGGACACGTGCGGCGCTTCAGAGAGCAACCATGGGTCCGGGCAGCCTTCACCATTGGGGACATGGAGGAGCATTGTGCAACGGGCAGGTACAGATGCTCCAAAGACCTGTTCGGCCCTAGTGCTGAGTACGGACTCACGGCTCATGGGCTGCGTGCAGATACTGGCAAGTGCAATGCATTGCAGATAACACCCGGTGCAGTCCACCACTTTGTGCTTCACTCTTACAATAAATTCAGGAGTGTGCTTTGTTGTGGACACATTGTGAATTACAGTGTTACATTGACTGTTTCAACTCATTTCTTCCTTAACTTTGACTTGTTTGCTGTAGTGTTAGCTTTGACCTCCCCCTCTACCCCTGAACATACGGACATGCATCTTCTGTGTTCATATGTACAATACTCAAGTAGAGTTGAGGTAGACTTAAATAAACATGTACTGCAGAGCATGAGAGGGTCCTGGGCCCTGCATGTGACATGTACCTGATCATTGTTTTTCCTTCTGTGCCGCCAGTGTGGATTTCGATGCCAACAGTGAAAGTGAGTGCACGTCTCCACAAGCTGAGGGGGAGACCAGGTCTGATCCATTCCCAGAGTTTCCTCTGTCCTTGCTGCAGAGTCAGTCGAAGTGTGAGAGTCAGAGCCCAGAGCTGCACCGCATCATACAGGTCCCTCCCTATACTCTGTATCTCATAGAAACGTATGACATGTTGGGTAGCCATCTTTGACCAGCTTATGTCTCCTACAGGATCAGTTCAGTGAGATTTTGTCCCAGTATTTCAAACCTGTCCCATCCAGTCCACACTACTTCTTTTACTGTCTTCCGTCAAATAAAGAGGTGAGTGAGGCTGTGGTTATTGCAGATACAGGTACAGACTCATGTGTAACTGTGCTCAGCAGGACTCTGATGATGAGACGGAGAGGAGGCCCGTAGAGGACATGGTTTCTGAGGCAGAGCCCGCTACAGAAGATGGTGAGGACTAAAATACTGAAAAAGCACTTTTCTTCAATAATGCTCTTTTGTCAAACAGTTTAAATAAATAACCATCTTCCTATTTAAAAACTGCAATTCTTTTCTAGTTGACTGTAGCAAAGTTCAACTAACGATCAATCCTCTCGTTCAGAAACCATTTCATCCCCCTGATATTATATTCTATTATCAATGCAAAATTTTAATCTGGCAGTTCTGAAAAGTGTAGCCAAAGTGAATATTTGCAATTTGTGTGTACAATATGAGGCAAAACATCTTTAGAGTTTGAGCAGAAATACTATAAAAAGTTTACTTTCAATATTGCAGGCTCAAAAGTAATTCTGTTCTAGTTTAGGGTTCATCCATTCCTCAGCCAATGGAGCCACACAGTCAGTGTGAGTGTGCTGTGTGTGTTGCAGAGGCCGTGTGCATGCAGACAGAGAGCGACTCAGACCTACTGGTGGAGTACGAGGACCAGCCTGGACCCAGCGCTCAGGCCCTGGGCAGCTCTGTGTCTGACTCTAACACGGTGAACCAGGACGATGACTCCTTCAGCATCCTAGAGGGTGGTTCTGTGGAGGGGCTCCAGCTGGACATGCCCCCCCTCTTTGTGCACATCACCTGTTCTGTGAACGTGAAGAGCAGCCACGGCTCTGTTCCCGTCCAGACCCTGCCTACCTGCCTGGGTGAGTGCTAGCCCAGGTCTGCCCCAGCCTGCCCCAGCCTGCCCCAGCCTGACCCAGCCTGACCCAGCTTGCCCCAGCCTGACCCAGCCTGACCCAGCCTGACCCAGCCTGACCCAGTCTGACCCAGTCTGACCCAGTCTGACCCAGTCTGACCCAGTCTGACCCAGTCTGACCCAGTCTGGGGCTTGGTTTTAATGGGGCTCTGCTGTCTGCAGGGCAAGTCATCTCCTGTTTGGAGAATGTGGAGTTGCTTCACTCAGTGGATCTGAAGGAGCTCTCAGTCACATTGGATATTTTCATCTTGACACTTCCTCTGGAGATAGAAGTACTGGCCGATTTTCATCACAACAGGTTAGTTCAAGGGGCTCTTTTAAACTTTCTATCTTGTTTTTTGGTAAGTTTAGCCTTTTAACACAGGGCGTCCCAAACATTTCTGTGACCCCCAAAATTAAGCTGCCTTCCCGGTAACATGGTCTTGAAAGGGCACATTGGTGCACATGTACATAGAGATAAAGCCAAATCTGATGCTGGGTATTTTATTTTAAAAAGGCATACACTATGTTTTGTTATACCTGCACAAAGAAAAGAGAGACAAGAAAAAGGCACATGGTGTCCAGCGCTGCACAAAGATGCTTCAGCATGAATGATACATGTCATAAATCATACATGCCACCACGGTACGAAAACAAAGCTCCTCACCTGGACAGAGACATCCAGAGCATGTGCATGCTGCATTAGGTCCTCCTCGCTCCATGTTCCAGGTACTTTAGTCCCAAACTCCACTAAAAACATCTATGCACTATATCCTGTGAGTACATTGGCCATTTCTTCTTCGGGTGGGGCAGGTCAAGTTGAATTGTATTTTGGGTCAGGTGGGGTGGGTCTTAAAAACGTTGACCTGTGCATCGCTCAGATTTTAGCATAGTCCTACATGTGGCCAAACCAAGTGCAGCATGTCGTCTTACCGGTAAAACAGAATAACTGAAGAAACAACATCCAGAGATTCAACTTGTATCCATTTGGAAACACATCAAGTGCGTGGCCTATCCAGTGTCTCAGAGTCAAATTGTTGTGTGTAATAATCAATCCACATCCAGTCTGCAGCATCTGTCTGTAAAGTTTGTCATAATCCTCCTCCTTTGCCCATGTAATAAAAGTGTAGTTTATCAAAACAAAAAGCAGGTGGTTCGTAGCGCTGCCATGAAGGTCAGCTACACGGCTCTGGTTCATTTGTTTGCATATTTGACTTTCACCATCACTGGACATCATATAGTCAAATAAGCTAGTATGTGTTTAAAATGGCAATAAGCATCATTGTGTGAGAGAGATGGCGGAGGAGCACGCATGCTCTGTGTCTCTGCACTGGACTGGCCATATTCGTGTAGGTTAATCTGGGCTCAGACCCAGCCAGTTTATTTTCTGTTCATTTCAATGATCATCCTACTCCTTTACTTACATTATTATTACAATGATATATTACAACATAGTTTTAAAAAGCATATATAAATATATTCATAGATTTGAAAACATTTATTCTGGATATCATCTCGCAACCCCCCCCCCCCCGACCCCCCAGGGGGATTACAACCCGCACTTTGGGAACCACTGTCTTAAAACACAAGCTTCATGTGGAAACAGCCCAATTGTTCACTCTGCACCAAAAGATCCTTTAATATAGTGTCTCAGTGGTTAGAGCAGCGGTCTCCCAACCAGAAGGTTGGAGGATCGTTCCCGCTTGAGCCAAGTTTTGTTGTTGTGTCCTTAGGCAAGACACTTCACCCATATTGCCTAGTATGAATGTGATGCATGTGTGAATGGTTGGTCCGAAGCCTTGCTTCCAGGCAGTCTGTCCAAGGGCACTAAATGACGGTAACTTAGCGTCATTTAGTGTGGAGTGAATGACTAATGAATTACATTATTAGGCCCAAGCCAGAGAAAATGTCCCAGTGACAGACTCATTAAAATTATTACAGAACTGTGAAAATCACAAAAATTAGGTATTAAAATGAATGAACATGCCAGTGACCAGTATCAGAAATTAGGTATCAACAATTTTCATTGGGCAATTTGGGAGCCCCCGACTTGGGAAAAAAGTCAACCTAAAAATCTGGAAGTCTGCAGGAAAAACGGAACATGTCAAGACATGACAAAAAGTATATTATGGCCCTGCCCTAAAGCCACAGACTGTTGTACTTAGGACATCTCCTTGCACAATTTTCATCACTTACTGGATTGAATGGAGTAGTAACATACAGTGAGGAAAATAAGTATTTGAACAACCTGCTATTTTGCAAGTTCTCCCACTTAGAAATCATGGAGGGGTCTGACATTTTCATTGTAGGTCAATGTCCACTGTGAGAGACATAATCTAAAAAGAAAAATCCAGAAATCACAATGTATGATTTTTTAACAATTTATTTGTATGATACAGCTGCAAATAAGTACACCTGAGAAAATCAATGTTAATATTTGGTACAGTAGCCTTTGTTTGCAATTACAGAGGTCAAACGTTTTGTGTAGATTTTCACCAGGTTTGCACACACTGCAGGAGGGATTTTGGCCCACTCCTCCACATAGATCTTCTCTAGATCAGTCAGGTTTCTGGGCTGTTGCTGAGAAACACGGAGTTTGAGCTCCCTCCAAAGATTTTCTATTGGGTTTAGGTCTGGACACTGTCTAGGCCATGCCAGAACCTTGATGTGCTTCTTACAGAGCCACTCCTTGGTTCTCCTGGCTGTGTGCTTTGGGTCATTGTCATGTTGGAAAACCCAGCCTTGACCCATCTTCAATGTTGTAACTGAGAGAAGGAGGTTGTTCCCCAAAATCTCGCAATACATGGCCCCGGTCATCCTCTCCTTAATACAGTACATTCGCCCTGTCCCATGTGCAGAAAAACATCCCCAAAGCATGATGCTACCACCCCCACGCTTCACAGTAGGGATGGTGTTCTTCCAAACACGGTTAGTGTTTTGTCTGACCAAAAAGTTCTATTTTGGTCTCATCTGACTCCCATGACTCCTCTGGATCATCCAAATGGTCATTGGCAAACTTAAGACGGGCCTTGACATGTGCTGGTTTAAGCAGGGGAACCTTCCGTGCCATGCATGATTTCAAACCATGACATCTTAGTGTATTACTAACAGTAACCTTGGAAAGGGTGGTCCCAGCTCTTTTCAGGTCATCGACCAGCTCCTCCCATGTAGTTCTGGGCTGATTCCTCACCTTTCTTAGGATCATTGAGACCCCACGAGGTGAGATCTTGCGTGGAGTCCCAGTCCAAGGGAGATTGACAGTCATGTTTTGCTCCAACAGTGGACCTTTTTTCACCAAGCTGCTTGGCAATTTCCCTGTAGCCCTTTCCAGCCTTGTGGAGGTGTACAATTTTGTCTCTGGTGTCTTTGGACAGCTCTTTGGTCTTGGCCATGTTAGTAGTTGGAGTCTTACTGATTGTATGGGGTGGACAGGTGTCTTTATGCAGCTAACAACCTCAAACAGTTGCATCTGATTTAGGATAATAAATGGAGTGAAGATGGACTTTTTACGGCGGACTAACAGGTCTTTGAGGGTCAGAATTCTAGCTGATAGACAGGTGTTCAAATACTTATTTGCAGCTGTATCACACAAATAAATTGTTAAAAAATACATTGTGATTTCTCGATTTTTCTTTTTAGATTATGTCTCTCACAGTGGACATGCACCTACGATGAAAATTTCAGACCCCTCCATGATTTCTAAGTGGGAGAACTTGCAAAATAGCAGGGTGTTCAAATACTTATTTTCCTCACTGTACATATACTGATTTTGGGGGGAGGGGCGATGTAGGTTGGAATGAGGCTCTTTTCATTTTACTGTTTTGAATGTCCAAAAAATTTTCTATTTTGGCAATTTTTTTACACATGAAATATCTCATTTTTAAATGAATTACATGTTAAAAACATTTTTCTTACATTTATGTGAGTAAACTGCAGAAGAAGATTCAAACTGCTTTGCTTTTGTGGATGATTTCATTTTTCTTCATGTGCAGGTACACGTCTGAGAGCAGTGTGTCTCTGAACCGCTCTCCGGGACAGCCCTCCTCGTACCGCTCAGACGATGAGCTGCTGGTAGGGCTGGATGCTCTGCGGGCAGGAAGCATGGATGGGTCAGTGCATGTGACATATACAGCATGTTTAAGAGTTTAAGGGGAGCTCCATAACAGAACTTTATCTTTGTGGGTGTGCAGGGTCAGCGGGGACCCTCTTTCCAAGCTACCGGACCCTCACAGATCAGCCATCGTGGCCACCATGGATGAGGTAAGGGCTGCAAACACACACTCAATAGTTAGATCTGTTATTCTGCAGTGTACTTCTTCTATTGTTTTCTCATCAAGCACTCTCAACCTAAGGCTGGACGATAGTATAGGGAAAAATAATAAATAATAATGATTTTTCCCCCCATATTGATCCAATAAAATATTTTTCCATTTTATTCAAGACTATTCAAATTCAAGGGTACAGTGCAGGGTGTCCCACGTAATTGTTGTCCCATGTAATTGTTGACAGAAATGCATGCGATGTCCGTGCGCTAAATTACTGTAGGACTTAAGTTTTACTTTGCATTGAGGCTGGATAAAAGGAAGGGGGGAGGAGGGCTCAAGCACACACAGAAACAGAGGGACGGGAGAAGGGAGGCACAGGACTTTTTCCTGAAACTGTGCATATTTAAGTTAAAACATGAAACACAAGTGAAGAGGCATAAAGAGACGTGCTGTGGCTCTGACTTTCACCTAAACAAGTAAATGCTAACTCATCTTACTGCCACAGGACTGTACATTAAAATGCCAAACTTGAACCTGCTCCCTCTGGCATCATCATTGCTTTACATGTACAAAATTCAGAACCCAAAACTCCATTAATACTAAGAGATTGTGATGAAGGGTGACCGACTTTTTAGTCATGTCATCTGTCATGTCCGGCCGCGTGTCTTGGACACTCAAGTGAAGAGAGGGGCTGAGCTGTCAACTGATGACCACCTGGTTGTGAGTTGGATCTGCTGGCAGAGGAGGAAGCCGGAAAGACCTGGCAGGCCCAAGCGTGTAGGTGGGTGTGTTCCAATTACAGGGCAATCGCACTCCTCAGCCTCCCGGTAAGGTCTATTCCAGGGTACTGGAGAGGAGAATATGGTCGATAGTGAACCTCAGAACCAGGAGGAGCAGTGTGGTTTTCGTCCGGGCCGTGGAACAGTGGACCAGCTCTACACTCTCCATCAGGTGCTCGAGGGTTCATGGGAGTCTGCCCAACCAGTCCACCTGTGCTTTCTGATTCTGGAGAAGGCATTCGACCGTGTCCCTCGTGGTGTCCTGTGGGGGGTGCTCTGGGAGTATGGGGTCCGGGACCCTTTGCTAAGGGCTGTCCGGTCCCTGTACGACCGGAGCAGGAGCTGTGTTCGCATTGCCGACAGTAAGTCAGACCTGTTCCCGGTGCATGTTGGACTCCACCAGGGCTGCCCTTTGTCACCGGTTCTGTTCATTGTGTTTATGGACAGAATTTCTAGGCACAGTCAGGGGCTGGAGGAGATCCGGTTTGGGGACCACAGGATTTCATCTCTGCTGTTTGCAGACAATGTCATCCTGTTGGCTTCATCAGACCAGGACCTGCAATGTGCATTGGGGCGGTTTGCAGCCGAGTGTGAAGCGGTTGGGATGAGGATCAGCTCTTCCAAGTCCGAGGCCATGGTTCTCGACTGGAAAAAGGTGGCTTGCCCTCTCCGGGTGGGTGGAGAGTCCTTGCCTCAAGTGGAGGAGTTCAAGTATCTCGGGGTCTTGTTCACGAGTGACAGGAGGATGGAATGTGAGATTGACAGGCGGATCGGTGCAGCGTCTGCAGTGATGTGGTCGCAGTATCAGACAGTTGTGGTGGAGAGGGAACTGAGCTGAAAGGCGAAGCTCTCGATTTACCGGTCAATCTTCGTTCCTACCCTCACCTATGGTCATGATTTCTGGGTAGTGACCAAAAGGACGAGGTTGCGGATACAAGCACTCGAAATGAGTTTCCTCCGCAGGGTGTCTGGGCGCTCCCTTAGAGATAGGGTGAGGAGCTCAGTCACACAGGAGGAGCTCAGAGTAGAGCCACTGCTCCTCCATGTCGAGAGGAGCCAGTTGAGGTGGCTCGGGCATCTGTTCCAGATGCCTCCTGGACGCCTCCCTCGGGAGGTGTTCCGGGTATGTCCCACCGGGAGGAGGCCCCGGGGAAGACCCAGGACACGCTGGAGGGACTATGTCTCTCGACTGGCCTGGGAACACCTCGGGGTCCACCTGGAGGAGCTGGAGGACGTGTCTGGGGTGCAGGAAGTCTGGGAGTAAGCGGAAGAAAATGGATGGATGGGTGTGACCGATTAGAAGACATTTAGAAGATTTCTTGCCACTGGGGCCTGGACAATGGTGAGGGTGAAGCCAGGTGAGGCCAAGAAGAGTAAAGGGGGGCGATGAGGTGATGAGAGGGGTTGCTGAGGAGGGACACTGATCAAAGCAGACTGCCCCACCTCCTCCTCAGCACCCCCTCTTCATCAGCAATTGGGATTTAAATTGGGCTCACTGGACAGTGATTAGACAAAGAAGCGGGGTGGCAAGTGGCGGAGAGTAGTATTTGGAGTGAGGTGAAGGCTGAGGAGCAGGTGATGAAGCTGCAAGGTAGATGGAAGCGAAGTTAGGATAAGTGCATAACATGGCCCTGACATATGCAGTGCTGCCTTATCAAACTCTCACTCTGTCTGTGTGTTTGGTGCTTCCTCAGATCCGCTGGCTGCTGGAGGATGAGATGGTCTCGGCGCTGCGCTCCTGTCGGCTCATTAGCTCAGACACTCTGCTTAAAGTGGTGGAGCATGTGTCCCGCTCGGCCGGACGCCCACACTGCCACTGTGAGGAGGTGCCACTGCAGTTTGTCTTTGGTCCCGAGCAGTCACTGGAGAAGTTCAAACAGGCATGTGCACTTCCTTTGAATATAAAAATTGGGATATTTTGAGAGAAGACAATAATCTCAAGCGTTTTATAGAAGAGGTATTAAACTTCTACAGGGTATTAACTGCATATAACACATAACATATTTAGATCTCCATGCTACGTTTTATTGTTTTGAAAACATTGTATTTGCTCAAAATTGCAAATACACAATCGCTAATGAAACTACTGCACATTGCATCAGGTTTGTGTCTTGTTTTGTATCATGCTTGTATATTTATATTTATGGAAAATAGTCGTATAGGACCATGGTGGAGCTATGGATAGGGTCGTAATGTTAACTGTAAACAGGGTTAAATAAATAACTCAATCATATATGGATGGTAAAGAAAACCACTTCAGGCATGTTTTTGTAGAAGGAATAGTGTTATAACACAGTAGAACGTTCCAAAAAGTAATTTAAACTTGTTAGTTACATACATTTTCATATTGTGAAAAAAATATGTCTGTACACAGGAGTTCCGGCACGTGTCTCTGGCTAGATATGTGTTCAATGCTGAGGAGGATTTCTTCTACATTTCTCTCAGCCGGCTGCACCCCCAGAGAATCCACGGTACCAACATGTTCCCTCTGAGCACGGGGCCCCATAATCCCAGTGGCCCCTGCCCCGATGTACCCAGGGGCCCTGCTGAGGCAGACTCTAACCTGGTACTAAACATTCTCTTAAACTCATCCAGGCTGTTTGTATGGTAGTGTTAACATCAAAATCGAGTATGATGACACATAAAAGCTTGATTCTAAATGGATACAGCTGATGTCATCAACATTTCCTGGGTCTCTTGCTAACTGAAAGCACAACTCTGTCAGAAACTCTTTTACTAAACCTAGGCTTAAATTGAGCTTTATTTTTGCACAGTCTAACCAGAAAGAACTGACTTGGTTGGAGGTACAACAGGTGATCTGATTTCTGCTGTTAAACAAGTCTCAAATATCAAATAACACTCAAAAGTCACAAGATAACTGAAAAATTCACTCTCACCTCTTTGTTAAACATCAAACTCCAAAGCAGACTCCTGAAAATGTATTGTTTACATTATTATTTTTTTTTTTCAGACTATCTCAAAACCTTTTTGTCTGTGTTTGCTAATGTGTGCATTGGGTCACCATGGTAACTGCTGATCATTCCGCTAGTAGAGATCCATGTAAAACATGTATCAATGCAGATTCTGATACCAGGTTGATAATTAAATAGTAGGGATTTAACAATATCCAACTCTCTTCTATGATATTATCATGATATACATGTTACGGAATGATATTTATTGTGCCATTTTGGAGAGGCTAATATAATTGTAGATAGGAGACTTTTTTGCTTTTAAAATAGTTTGACAAGATTTTTAGTGTGAAGTAAAAAACATATTTCTTCATCTTTCACTGAAATGAACCATGGGATATGTAGTTCCCTATGTTTATAAGCTGTTGCTACAATAAAACCAATACGATATCAAGATATTTTGGTTATTGTTACATCCCGATTAAATACATGTCTTTTTTAGACAATAGAATGTCATTTTCAACATTAAATCATAGTTTTTCTGTACCACTTACCATGTGACCCTCTCAGTAGTCCAGGTAGGTTCTATAGTGGATAAGCCCAAAATCATTCTAAAGCTATTTAGGAAATATTAATTTCAGTCCTATGAATATGACGTTTTTAGAATTGATTCTTGCTTGTGTGTTATTCTCTAGTTTTAGTATTGATTAGTGTCTGATTTTCAGTACTTTTGATAACCCTGTTCTGTGATTATCGATTTTTGAGATATTCAAACAGCTTTGCATACACTGAACTCCAGTTCTAGACATGCAAATGCACATCTCCTACTGTGTTCACTTGAATAGCCATGTTTGTTTTAAAAAGTTAAAGTACTGTTCTGACCCCTCTTTATGTGTTGAGGGTCCCAGCACAGACCTGCAGAGCCTCCCTTATACGACTTCAGGAGTGGAGCCAGTGTCCTACAGAACAGAGCTTGCAGTGTCCTACTCACCCCCCAAAGCGCCCTCTAGTGGTAGCCTAGCAGATTGCACGGGACCCAGCTCTCACAGTGAGTGCGCTTCAAAGGCTGGTCCATAGACACCTGCTGTGGTAACCCTGTGTGTGCTGTCTCCCCTCAGGCGGTGAGAGGCCTAGGCCCAGCCGTGTGCAGAGCGTGGTGTCCAGTCAAGGCAGCTTGGACTCCGACATGCAGGGTAAGCTCTCACTCACGTGAGCCTAACATCAGCTTGAAAAATCCCAGAAATATTACAGCAGGGATTAGCTACAAAGGTCTTAACAGTGTGTAATAACAGGTTCTTAGGATTCTCAAATTGAATCTTAATTTGGTGGGATAATATTTGGTGTGAATATAAATTATATCATCAAAAAGTAGTTCTTTATTGCTGACAACCACTGAGAGAATTCTATCCAAAAAAGGTGTTTTCTTAAATTATTATTCATCAAATTATCATTTTTGTGTACATTAGAGGAGTTTTGACTCAGTGTATGGTACACTGGGCCAAAACTCGATACCTTGCCCCTAGCGTTATGTCATGATTTCCATGATTTCTTTTAGGCTATGACGGTGGCAGCAGTGACTCTGAATGTGAGAGCCCCACTCTCGGGGAGCGGGACACACAGCCCCCCATGATGCCCGACTTCTGGTTAATCCTGCAAGTGCACCAGGACCGCGTAAAGGTCTACTCACACTCCAGGTCAGCTCCTCCTCCCACTCTCCCTCTCACCCACCCTCCTCTCACTCTCCTCTCACTCTCCTCTTACCCTCCTCTCACTCTCCTTTCACTCTCCTCTCACCCTCCTCTCACCCTCCTCTCACCCTCCTCTCACCCTCCTCTCACCCTCCTCTCACTCCTCTCACTCTCTCCCACTCTCCCCCTCACTCTCCTCTCACCCTCCCCTCACTCTCCTCTCACTCTTCTCTCACCCTCCCCTCACCCTCCCCTCACCCTCCTCTCACTCTCTTCTCATTCTCCTCTCACCCTCCTCTCACTCTCCTCTCACCCTCTCTTCACTCTCCTCTCACTCTCCTCTGACCCTCCTCTCACTCTCCTCTCACCTTCTCTTCACTCTCTTCTCACCCTCTCTTCACTCTCCTCTCACCCTCCTCTCACTCTCCCCTCACTCTCTCTTCACCCTTCCCTCACCCTCCTCTCACCCTCGCTTCACTCTCCCCTCACTCTCCTCTCACTCTCCTCTCACCCTCTCTTCGCTCTCCCCTCACTCTCCCCTCACTCTCCTCTCACCCTGCCCTCACCCTCATCTCCCCCTCCTCTCACCCTCCCATCACTCTCCTCTCACCCTCCCCTCACTCTCCTCTCACCCTCCCCTCACTCTCCTCTCACTCTCCTCTCACCCTCTCTTCACTCGCCTCTCTCTCCCCTCACTCTCCTCTCACTCTCCTCTCACCCTCCTCTCACTCTCCCCTCACTCTCCTCTCACCCTGCCCTCACCCTCATCTCCCCCTCCTCTCACCCTCCTCTCACCCTCCTCTCTCTCTCTTACCCTCCTCTCACTCTCCTCTCACCTCCTCTCACCCTCCTCTCACTCTCCTCTCACCCTCCTCTCACTAGCCTCTCACCCTCTCTTCACTCTCCTCTCACTCTCCCCTCACTCTCCTCTCACTCTCCCCTCACTCTCCTCTCACCCTCCCCTCTCTCTCCTCTCACTCTTCTCTCATCCTCCCCTCACCCTCCTCTCACTCTCCTCTCACCCTCCCCTCACCCTCCTCTCACTCTCTTCTCATTCTCCTCTCACCCTCCTCTCACTCTCCTCTCACCCTTTCTTCACTCTCCTCTCACTCTCCTCTGACCCTCCTCTCACTCTCCTCTCACCCTCTCTTCACTCTCCTCTCACCCTCTCTTCACTCTCTTCTCACCCTCTCTTCACTCTCCTCTCACCCTCCTCTCACTCTCCCCTCACTCTCCTCTCACCCTCTCTTCACCCTTCCCTCACCCTCCTCTCACCCTCGCTTCACTCTCCCCTCACTCTCCCCTCACTCCCCTCACTCTCCCTCACTCTCCTCTCACCCTCTCTTCGTTCTCCCCTCACTCTCCTCTCACCCTGCCCTCACCCTCATCTCCCCCTCCTCTCACCCTCCCATCACTCTCCTCTCACCCTCCCCTCACTCTCCTCTCACCCTCCCCTCACTCTCCTCTCACCCTCCTCACTCTCCTCTCACCCTCTCTTCACTCGCCTCTCACTCTCCCCTCACTCTCCTCTCACCCTGCCCTCACCCTCATCTCCCCCTCCTCTCACTCTCCTCTCACCCTCCTCTCACCCTCCTCTCACTCTCCTCTCACCCTCCCCTCACCTCTCTCACCTCCTCTCATTCTCCTCTCACCCTCCTCTCACTCTCCTCTCACCCTCTCTTCACTCTCCTCTGACCCTCCTCTCACCCTCTCTTCACTCTCCTCTCACTCTCCCCTCACTCTCCTCTCACCCTCTCTTCACCCCTCCTCTCACCCTCCTCTCACTCTCCTCTCACCCTCTCTTCACTCTCCTCTCACTCTCCCCTCACTCTCCTCTCACCCTCTCTTCGCTCTCCCCTCACTCTCCTCTCACCCTGCCCTCACCCTCCTCTCCCCCTCCTCTCACTCTCCTCTCACCCTCCTCTCACTCTCCTCTCACCCTCCTCTCACTCTCCTCTCACTCTCCTCTCACCCTCCTCTCACTCTCCTCTCACCCTCCTCTCACCCTCCTCTCAAGTGTCCTCACCTTCCTGTCACCCTCTCTTCACCCTCCTCTCAACCTCCTCACTGTCTTCTCACCCTCTCCTCACCTCCTTTTACCCTCTCCTCCCTCTCCTCTCATCCTGTCTTCTGTCTCCCAGAGCTTGCTCAGAGCCCCTCCTTCATGTGTGAACTGTGTTTGGCAGAAACCTGAGGGCCGAAGTGCAGAGCAGCTGTGAGGAAATGCCCGAGTACCTGCAGCTCCATCAGGCTGTGGTCAGCAAAATTGGGGAGATCTGCCGGGTCGTCAATCAGGTACATTTTTATATCAATTACAGACCATACAGGTGGACAACATAGGTATGGGGTGATATGAATTGTTTTTTTTATATATGTCTTGCTGGCAGATATATATTTCTTCTATACTAAAATAAAGCATTTAATATCAAATTTTGTAATGTAAAATTTCAAAGTTGGAAAAAAATACTCATTATGATTCTGTTGATAATTTTTGACTTAAAAACTGTACATGAGATCTAATTTGTAGACTTTTATCTGTAAACCTGGGAAACTAGTGTTTAGTGTTAGTGTTCAGAGAAATGGGACTTAGGAAGCAAGAATCATAAAACAAGTATGAATTAAGCTAAATACAACTATAGGTCTGTTTTGGTGATAGAACAATGTTATAACATGGTTAAAAGCTCAAAAAGTCTCTGGCATAATATTTGTCCTTTTAAAATTGATCCTGATAATATACTCTAAATATGGGGTGACTTCACCATGTTGTTGTGTCCTGTGTAGCGCATGCTGCTGCAGGACCTCCATGACAGTCACGTGTGTAACTCTCTGCTGGTGGCTGAGAGTGAGGAGGACATCTGGAAGAATGAGGCGGTGTACAGGCAGAGGACACAAACCTCTGATGGTCAGCCTCTTCTGTATTTCTGCATTGTCCATGTTTAGGACTGTGTCTGATCCTGGTTTATACTGTCAGATTACAGCACAGAAGAGAGTTACCAGGCCCGAGACTACCTAGCTGCCACCATGCAGTTCATCCCTGGACACTTTGCCTGTGATATTGTGTGGAGAACCATCATCCACATCCACCCACGCCTCAAGATGGGACCCAACATGGGAGTTTCTAGAGGCAATTGCATTTTTCTCAAGTCTACCTACACATAAGCTATGTGCAAAAGGGTTGTTATATCACAACCCAGATACTAAATTGGTACTAAAACAAAAGTGATGAATGCAACTACAGTTCTATGAATCCTGGATAACCACCGGAGTATGGCAAGAGGAAAACCACTGAATGATTCCCTTTGAGCATACGTGGTTCCAGTATCAATGTCAACAATGTCAGCCCTGTGACAATCATAGGCTACAGAGCCTGACGTCATCCCAGGCAGAATCTTCTAACAAAAATGAAAAAGAAAAAGTATTCTGAGTGACATAGATTTTCTGGAGGTATTTCAGGATTCATAGAACCATGGTTACAGTTGTAACTTTTCAAATTTATAACATTCCTCCCTACTGACCGACAAAGGGTGGTACTGAAATGACCCAGTATTGGCAGAGTTCATCCCAATAACAACTAGAGCTGGAGAAGAGGGCACCTTCACATGAACCAGCAGAGATGGCCTTGTCAGTGGATGTCAAACAACCTAGCAGAGACATAGTCAGTAAAGGATATGTGAAACTTACACATCAACTAGATGGTTAGCTAGGTGCCCTAATGCTTGGAAAACAGGGCAGCCACCTTTTAAACCAGCAGAGATAAAAACATTAAACATCTCTCACAAACTGCCTAAGCTCTGAGTGGGGAGCATAGCACTACCATTACGGACAGAGGCATACACTGAGAACTAAAAATCAGTACTATGTATCAAGTCTGCTTTTTAGTATTGAAATTGAAAATACTGAAAACTGAAATATTTGTTCAACTTCCATACTAACATATGTATATACAGTCCCTGACAAAAGTCTTGTCACTTATCCATTTTGTAGAAACAAAAGCTTATAACCTGACTTTAAATTAATTGATTGGTTTCAGAAATGTCTCATATGAAAGCTAAAACCCTCCCAAATTATGCTCAATATACTAAAATAAATTTGCTTCACTGAAGAAAGATTGATCATTTAATGAACACAGAAAGGTCAGATTTTGGCAAGACAAAAGTCTTGTGGCCTTGTCATATGATGCACCCAATCCTAGATTACAGCCTCACCTGTGATCAGTTACTGATCAATCAATTAGTGGGTGTGTATAAAAAGAACCCCAGCACACCAGACCTTCACATCAACTGCAACTTCACCTCTGACAACATGCCTAAGATCCACCCTGAGACCAAAGCGTTAATTATCAAGAGGCTGAAGACCAGATCCACTGCTGAGGTGGTGACACCTTCAATGTGTCTCAGCGTCAAGTACAAAGAACAAGAAAAAGATCTGAAATGACTGGAGTTGTTTTTGACAAGCCCAGGTCCGGCAGACCCCGCAAGACAACTGCTCGGGAGGACCGTTTGTTGATTCAAAAATCCAAGGCCAGCCCCTTTTCCACTGCAGCAGACTCCACCAGGCCTGGTCACCTCAAGTCCCTGTGTCAACCAGAACAGTTTGTAGAATTCTGTCTCGAAATGGCCTCCATGGTCGAATCAGTGCACAGAAACCAGCACAGAAACCAGCACTAAACAAAAGACAATTAAAAAACCGTGTGGCATTTGCCAAGGCCCACAGCCTGCTAAAAGGATGGACACTGGAAAAGTGGCAGAAGGTGGATTTTTCAGATGAATCCTCGGTTGAATTACATCACAGCCGCCGCAAATATTGCAGGAGACCTACTGGAGCCGCATGGATCCAAGATTCACCCAGAAAACAGTTAAGTTTGGTGGCGGAAAAATCATGGTCTGGGGTTACATCCAGTATGGGGCTGTGCGAGACATTTGCAGGGTGGAAGGCAATATCAATATCCTAAAATATCAAGAAGTATTAGCTTCCTCTTACATTCCCAACCATAAAAGGGGTCAAATTTTGCAGCAGGATGGTGCTCCATCGCATACTTCTATCTCTACATCAAAGTTTCTCAAGGTGAAGAAGATCAAGGTGCTCCAGGACTGGCCAGCCCAGTCACCAGACATGAACATCATTGAGCATGTCTGGGGTAGAATGAAAGAGGAAGCATGGAAGGCAAAACCAAAGAATCTTGATGAACTCTGGGAGGCATGTAAGACGCTTTCTTTGCTATTCCTGATGACTTCATCAACAAATTGTATGAATCATTGTCGAACCGCATGGATGCGTCCTTCAAGCTCATGGAAGTCATACAAGATATTAAATATGGATCTCACAGCACCACTACTTAATTCACTGACGTTATGCAACATATTTTTGTATTTGAAGTAAATTATTTGTTAAATTTTTTGTAGGCGACAAAACTTTTATCTTGCCAAAATCTGACCTTTCTGTGTTCATTAAATGATCAATCTTTCTTCAGTGAAGCAAATGTATTTTAGTATATTGAGCATAATTTGGGAGGGTTTTATCTTTCATATGAGACATTTCTAAAACCAATGGATTAATTTAAAGTCAGGTTATAAGCTTTTGTTTCTACAAAATTGATAAGCGACAAGACTTTTGTCAGGGACTGTATTCATTCATACCGTATTTTCCGCACTATAGGGCACGCTCTTAAGCCTCCAACCCCATCAAAAGACGACTGCACGCCCCACAATCCAGAGTGCCCTATACATGAATCCACTCGAGTGTCCCAGCACGACTTCAGTAAACTACAAAGCCACACCACCCACAGCGCACACAAACACGCACAGAGCAGACAGCGACCGCACAGCGAAAAACACCCACAGACACACTCATCACTCCACGCCGACGAGGAATGGAACGGAGGAACGTACCGAAAAAGCGAGTGCAATGTGCCACACAACTGAGTCACTGCGAACACGCCGACAATCCATCCAACTGTTGTGTTTCATTTAAAGTCCGGTGCGGTTTATTTGTGAAAAAAGTTTGAAAATAGACCAATGCCTTATAATCCAGAGCACCTAATAGCCCGGAAAATACGGTACTTACCAAATTAAAACAGGAAATTTATGTTGGCTCCTTTATCTATCAACTTAATGTTCCTATGTATGCAATTAAATAATCTCCCTATTCTAAACTGAATTGGATCAAAATCAGGTCCCATGACAAATTTTTTCACTTCAGGTTTTGCTCTCCTCTTGCAGCCATCCAGGCGCTACGCTCAGTGCTGAGCTCTTTCTGTGTGGTCAATCGGAAGAACATGTTTGTCTACCAGGAACGCACCACCAAATCAGTGTTCTACCTCAGGTCAGAACCTCACCTGGTCATGTCTCCTCTGCACCTTCTGCACCAACACAAAACTAAACTACATAGATTTAGACCATGTGGTCTGGAGTAGAGCTGCAAACTTCAACTTCAACTTCCTAATTTTGATGGATGCACTTAGTAAATCACAAAGGCTGCTGTTTTTCATATAGCCTACCATAATTTCCTCCAAAAACAACAGTCTCTTATTCTGACTAAAACAGCTCCGCTTAGATCTTTTCTGAAATGTGATTGTTGTATTTAACAAATCATATATTTTGGTGTTTCTGCCAATTCTTCTGGATTTGTTTAAAAATGTGAACACTGAACACAATCCTATTATTAAAACATAAATGCCATATCAAAGTGCATTTGCAGTGCTTGTCAGAAACCACACAATAAGATATTTTTCTCAAACCATTCAGCCCTACTCCAGAGCTGTTTATAGTTATCCTGTGTCTATGTTAACATATGATGTGTGTGGGTGTGCGCATGTGCGTGGGTGTGTGCGTGTGTGTGTGCGTGTGTGTGTGCATGTGTGTGTGCATGTGTGTGCAGGCTTTGTGAGACTTCGTTGGAAAACCAGCTGCCCTCACAGCGCTCTGTGGCCCTTGCCCGGAGCCAGGAGCCCTCCTTTTCAGACGACCCCATGGTAAATTACCATCAATCCATTAATTAGTGATTCACTGATCCAGCTTTGTCAATTCTGATACTGATTTCAGTTATAGCTTCTGCCAATACCTGGTATCAACCAATACCAGCACATAGACTGAAAACAGCATTCATTTCCTTTTAAACAAAAAAAAAACAACAACAACAAAAATCATAAACTGATCCAAATGTGTTATGTAACTGTTATTCCTCAAGAAACTAAACTTTGGATAAATAAAACTTTCTGGACTGACCAGTAAATGTTGTACTATATCACTGTATATGTCCAAACAAGGATATCAGGTGAATCCAATACCAATATTGTCTCAGTGTCTCCCCTCCGTTACTCATTACACTCAATCCATACAATTGAAAATTTCTGCTAATGCACTTTTTTTTTGTTCTAAAACAGCACTGATGATTCAGTATTTGTTCATGTGTATATTCTGGATTAAACTAGAATCCAAAATTTCTCACACATTTTCTTAGTCACCCAATCCTTACTGGAGATGATGGATTAAGGCTTGGTTAACCAAGTTACATGTAAAAAGAGATTATCCGACAAAAAACACTTCTAACAGTACAACCCTCATCAGTTCCAACAGTAATAGTACTGTCCTTGTCCAGGCCTCCCGCTCCCCCCTGGAGGCCTCCCGGCCGGTGGGGCAGGTAGACAAACACATCCTTTTGCTGGTGCATGGAGTGGAAAGCGCAGGTGAGTTTGAGGCTGTGCCATACAGGGTCTTAAAGTGGAACCAAAGTACCAAAGTAGAACTGTGTATATGGTGTTCAGATAGCATTGTAGTGGAGCTGTTAAGGACCAAAAAAGTGCCCAGTTGTTCACTTTTATGGTACAAGCATGAAACTCTACAGGGTCATTACACGCCAACTCTCCAACTGCCCCCGCCCGACCATATCAAATTTGACTGAAAAAAAAGTCTATGAGGTTCACACACTTTCCAATAGGAAAAGTCCCACATTTTAGCTCCCAACTCCTTATAGTTTTGTCATTAAAAATATTTTGTCAACTCTCCCCTGACCTGTTCCGAGCAGAGTTTTCCAAGGAGACACTTTCAGATTTCTTTATCTAAAAAACTATTTAAGGTCAGCCCTTAAAATTTTCAAGGGTTAAAATTTGGCAAATGTACTTGTAGAATCTGGACTTTTACACATGTGCTTTTGATTTATCACAGATTTCTAGGGGATTGAATTTGGTTGAAAATTGTACTCTTCAAATATGAGGGCATCTTTGAAGGACTGTGGAAAGTGTAATTTCAAAGACAGAGGTTTGATATTGAACATTCACCTTCCCACACATGCTGTGTACTTTGTATTTTAAAACTGACCCTCTGTGATGAAAGCTCTACAAGATATTAAGTGTTCAAAATGGAAAAAATAAATGTGGTGCCATCTTTACCATGTTATACCAAAAAAATGACAGCACCCACCAACATAAAATGGACTGTTATAGAAAGACTAGATGTCTGTTTTTAACACATCCAAAATTTGTGATGGTGTTCTGCCTTATTTTTGCAAAATCTATTTGAAAATGTGGTATCCACATACATGCAGAGCATTCATGGACTATGAAGACACTTTCAGAAGCAAAGAAAACACTCTGAATATTTGACACACAGCTTAAACTCTTAAAAAAATATATTTGAAGTATAACTTATATGTAGTCTTTACATATAGAAATAGAAACGTGTCTGTTTCGATCCTGCACAAAGACACAACAAAAAGAGAGAGGCGAGGGGCTATATATTTTTATTATCTAAAGAACTAAAAATACAAACATGTGCGGTGGGTTAAAGTCAGTCATCAGTAATGTGTGCATGTTGTTTGCAGTGAGATGTACTGATGTACTGAGTGTGCTGTTACTGTGTCAAAATCAAACTAAAGATGACATGAGCATGTGAAGTCCATGGCTGACAAGCTGGAAAGTGGATTTGCAAATGCACTGGCAGTGCCAGGTACCAGAGATAATCACTGTTTCAAGTCAATTCAACATCATCTGGGGTCAGCAGTGTGTCTGGAACTGCTGGATTTTTAGTCTATTACAAAAACATGCAGAAGAAGAGGTTTCACAGGGCTTCCAAATCAGTGACATGATACCTGGCCAACATGTGTGTACAACCATCACTGGTGGGTGGAAAACATCACAGAGACATCTGAAACCCAGCAAGATGTTCAGACATAATTCATACATCCACACAACCCAGCAAAAAGTTTCTATTGGCCCAGAAGAAAAGACTAGTGCTGGATACGTTTACAACACATCATTTCTAAAATAGATGTTCCAGCACTCCAACAAGGTGCCCAAGGTGCTTTAAACAATTCAGGAGTGTTACACCAAAACATCTGAAAGTTTTCTCAAAGAATTGAGATAATTTACAATAGTTGAGTAATCAAATCAAGCATTTTGTTGAGTTTAAGCTGTGTGTCAAATATTCAGAGTGTTTTCTTTGCTTCTGAAAGTGTCTTCATAGTCCATGAATGCTCTGCATGTATGTGGACACCACATTTTCAAAAATTGATTTTGCAAAAATAAGGCAGAACACCATCACAAATTTTGGATGTGTTAAAAACAGACATCTAGTCTTTCTATAACAGTCCATTTTATGTTGGTGGGTGCTGTCATTTTTTTGGTATAACATAGTAAAGATGGCACCAAATTATTTTTTTCCATTTTGAACACTTAATATCTTGTAGAGCTTTCATCACATAGGGTCAGTTTTAAAAATACAAAGTACACAGCATGTGTGGGAAGGTGAATGTTCAATATCAAACCTCTGTCTTTGAAATTGCACTTTCCACAGTCCTTCAAAGATGCCCTTGGATTTGAAGAGTAGAATTTTTGAGCAAATTCAAGCCCCCAGAAATCTGTTATAAATCAAAAGTGTAAAAGTACAAGTACATTTGCCAAAATTTTAATCCTTGAAAATTTGAAGGACCTACCTTAAATAGTGTTTTAGATACAGCAATCTGAAAGTGACTCCTTGGAAAAGCTCAGGGGGGAGTTGACAAAATATTTTTTAATGACAAAACTATAAGGAGTTGGGAGCTAAAATTTGTTACTTTTCCTACTGGAAAGTTTGTGAACCTCCTAGAATGTTTTCAGTCAAATTTGAGATAATTGAGTGGAGGCATTCGGAGATTTGGCGTGGAATGACCCTGCTAAAACTTGTGAAACGTGCTTATAAATAAACTTGGACCATCACAAAATAAATTAGTGTAAAGGTGCACTGTGCAATTTTTCTGGTGGAGGGTCTGTTCCCTCCTCTTCTCCATGGAGATGTCGTTGCTTTGTCTAGAAATCTCCACAGTATTGCATTAAACAACCCTGCTTATGGTTTTTAAGCAGTAAAAACAGCTGTAGTTGAATAAACACAAGATGGATCCGTTTAATACTACTGTGGAACATTTCAGCAATATAATTCCCACGGAAAAAAATAAACAAATAAATAAAAAATCAGATGACAGAGTCTCCAGCAGAAAAGTAACACAATGTTTGTCTCAAGACGATTCTCCAATCAGAAAGTAGAATGAGCCTCACATGACTCTCTCCTGTCTCCTCTGCTCCTGTCTCCTCTGCTTCTCTGATCTTGTCTCATCTGCTCCTCTGCCCATCTTCTCTGCTCCTTCTGTTCTCTCCTGGTGGCAGCAGCACATGGAGAACTAAGAAAATTAGACTATAAGAAATGGATTATGCAGTATTTTTTATGCCAGCCTCATTTTCATATAGTTCATTTTGTGACATGCACAGTTCTCAGTGCCAGTGTTAAATTAGGCTTGGTTCCATATACAGAAATATTAGTCCTGGTAGTGTTAGTAATCTGGCAAAATTTCATGCTTGTACCATAAAAGAGAAATATTTTGGTCTTTAACAGCTCCACTATGTCTCCAGTGGCCACTGCAATTTCATGTACTACATGAAATCACGCAGGACTTGAAATGTGACCACCTCCAGGTGTACAATCTACACCTCCATCTGGATTTGTTGTGAACACAATTTGATGGTAGAATGAGTTTGGTGATAGTTTATGGGTTTAAAACTGCGTAGGAGAAGTCTGTAGTTTCATCCATGACACAACTAAACAGGCAATATGCATAGTAGGGATGGGCATAATTAGTCGATTAATCAATAATCGATCATTAAACATTTCGTCAATTACGTAAATTTTTTATCCGTTTTTTTCCCCGGACATGTCCATTTTCTACGTCCTGTCCTGGCCATGCGGGTTTTTTTTGTTTTGTTTTTTATATAAAGTGATGCAAATGTCCAGGTTTTCATTACCTTTCATTCGGCTCGTTGCTCTCTGTACTCAGAAGGAGCGAGCAATCACAGACAGTCGGTCAGCCTGCAACACGCTGAAGCACAAATGTGTATTTAATGATGACTTGTACCAGAAATTCCCCGCTTTTCATCCCAGTTGAGACAATGGGAGGCCATGTGCACAGTGTACAAAGCAGGCACATATGTTTCAGTGTCCAGTGGGGGTGCCAGGGACCTTAAAGCACCAGGACACCGAAAAACATTAAAAAGCTTTGCCAGGAGAGAGAAGCTCAATGTCGATAACGAGGCCCCACCTCCCACTCCCCGTACGGTGTCCTGGTTTTGACAAACACAAATATGGTCACACTAACTTATATTCCACTGAGTTGTGTCCGTTAGTCTGACAGAAGTTGACCGCATCAGCGCACAAGAGCTGTTTTTTTCTTCACCTGGTTTATGCAAATTAGCCATGCAGTTTTATGTTTCTTTTCTGTGAGACTTGCACAAATCTGCATTAAACACATTATAATGTCAAACGGGATGTGGCTCTATAGTGGTTACGGTTCATATGTTGTAAAGTTGAATTTATTTATGCATAGTGCAGATAGTAATAATAATGATGATCATTTTAATATAAAAACGTTAATGATTAATCGATAATCGATCGTTAATTCTCCCAACGATTAATTAAGAACATTTTATTGAATGTCCATCCCTAATGCATAGCATTTTCAAAACAGTAAAAGGTAATATAATGATATAAATGTGTTATGTTGTTGAAACTGACACACCATAGAAGTTTAATACCCCTTCTGTAAAAGTTGATTTGGTACATATTACATCTTCTTTGACCAGAGCTGCAGTCTGGCCTGTAGTTCGGAGGACTTATTTCTGCTCTCTGTGTTTAGGCCCTGAGATCACTGATGAACTTGTCAAAGTGCTGCAGAAGCGCCTGGATGAGACCACCCTGGACATCATCACAGTCATGCTAGTCCGTAACTGCAAACTGACCCCTGCCGATGTGGAGGTGAAGAGAGTATCCAGTCTAGAGACACACACCTTACACAGAAACACACAATTACAGACATCCCATACATGCAGATGCATGTATGGGATGTCTGTAATTGGCATAGTTGCATGCAAATTATTTGCATACAAATTATTTCCTTTTTTTTCCAAACCCAAAACGTGCACAATAAGTCAAATCCTCCAGCTAAGCAACAAGATCATGGAGATGAGTTTCCGAGCACCATGTTGTGGTGCCTCAGCAGCACTGAAGGATGAGTAAATTCCCTATGGCGATTATAAAGTGTACCTTAATCTTAAACTCCGAACTAACAACAAAATGTGGATACTGTATGTGCCTTGTTGGGTACAGGAAACGGGAAGCTTAGACTAGGGGACCAAATGGAACCTTTGCAGTCATTGGTCCTCTACCATCAAAAGATGGTAGAGGACTAAGAACATTAAGAAATATTGTATAATATGTTCAGCAGCCACACATTAAGGCTCCACACAAACCTGTTAACTGCAGCATTTTGAATGATTCAGTGTTTTCACCACCTATTGTCATGTCAGTCTATGGTCAGGGCTGGTTATTTTGTTAACTGAATAATCTAGTGATTAACTTTGATTAACTGATCAGTTGTTTAGAATGCGAAAGGCCTGTAAATATGAGTGTTTTGCTCATTTTGACCAAATGAGCAAAACCAAAGACCAAAGCTAAGCTTAGCTAAAAATGGATATTGTTAAAATGCAAATTTCTTTTGTGTTGTATTATAATGATTTCTATCACCTTTGAATAATTGATTTTAATCTAATAATAGGGTGAACTCTGTAAACCACTCTGAAAATCACCAATACTATGTATTTTCATTTGTAACCCTTGATGGAAAAAGTTTGCCCACCTTTGGCTCATAGTATGCTTTTTGGTAAACCCACTTTCAGATCTTGAGGGCTTTAGATGTATTCTGTGTGTATGATTGATGCTGTACTGGTGTGCAGTTCATCCAGCCGTTGGACGCTGCCCCCTCAGAGGTGATGGTCTTCAGCCTGCCTCTGCACTGTAGTGCCTGGCTCCCCGCTGTGGCTCACTACCTCCGCCAGAACCTGCTCATCTTCCTGCATGTGCCCAAGTACACAGACAACAACACAGCCCACCACTTCAAGGTAACTCACAGACTGGACAGACATGCATCCATTTGCAGATATCCAAGAAGGACAGACCAAGGCCGTTATTAGCCTACTCTTAAATCTTGAAACTATGGGGGCTCCTTAAAATGTACAGAAAACACAGGATTTTGAGAGCTAAATTAATTGTGCTACCTCCTTCTGTGCCAAATGTAACTAAATAATATTAGTTCTCTTTCATAGCGTTCGTTTCGATGTCTCACTATGGGGATATGCCCCCTTGCGTATTCACAGAAGCCCTATACCAGTACGCCAGCCCTGAGTGTCACAACGTTGCCAATGTCATTGAATTCATATCTCAGGAGATACAAGTTTCAAATGCTCACACACACAGCCTTGATTCGGTTGATCTGTCCAGGCGATTGGTTCACATTTATCGACCTGAAAGCGCATATTTTTATATCCCCATTTATCCGCCTCATGGGAAATATTTGAGGTTTCTGTTTCAAGACATGACATACAAGTACATGGTGCTCCCATTCGGCCTCTCCTTGAGCCCGATAGTGTTTGTCGAATGCACCAAAGCTGCGTTGGCCCCGCTCAGAGAGCAAGGTATTTGCTTAGCCAGTGAGCAATTAGTTCCTGCTTGTGCGCTCACAGGAGGAAGCTGTCGCTCACACAAAAATTGTACTCTCTCATGTGTGCAACTTAGGGTTCACTGTAAACACAACCAAGAGTGTTTTACAGCCCAGTCAAAGCATTGCCTTTCTGGGTCTGACCCTAGACTCTGCCCAGAGAGGATGCGCACATTCACGGACACATTGGTCCATTTCTCCCTGGGAAAACGGGTTTCATATGGTCTGTGTCTTAGACTGTTTGGTCTGATGACTTTGGTGATCTTGTAGTAAAGCTGGGCAGACTTTACACACAGGCAGGCTTGTGATGTGGAGCAGTGTGCATCTCACCTATGAGAGCGACACATGTACCACGCGTCCTGAATATAGGCGCAGATCTTCTCTCCATCAAATGCCATTCTCCCCTGTACGGAGAATGGCATTTGAATCTGGCTGTGGTGGAGCAGATTTGGATCAGGTACGGCTGCACAGCGGGGGACCTGTTTGCATCTATGGAGAATGTGCATTGTCCACTGTTCTTCTCCCTGCGCGATCAGCGTCTGTCATTGAGAGTGTACACACACTCCCACGAGTGGCCCCGAATGCCTTTAGCGTTGATTCCCCCTTCTCTTCTGAGGGTGAGGGAACACCGCTTGCCACTAATATTGATTGCCCCATACTGGACCTCTATGCTGTGGCTTGCGGAGGTGAAACAGTTGCTGAGTTGGCGCCCCTGGACTCTCCCGTTGCTCAGAGACCTTCTGACCCAAGCAAACGGACAAATATTCCATCATTCATCCAGAGCGGCTCATGCTAAACGCATGGCCCCTGACTAGCTGAGCCTGAGCATGGCTGGTCTGCCTCAGAATGTGATTAATACCATTCAGAGTGCCAGGGCCCCTTCCACAAGGTCACTCTCTGACCGTAAGTGGAAAGTTTTTGAGGACTGGTGCCTTAAAATGGGGGTGTTCTCCTTTGATTGTCCACTGAATGTTGTATTGCCATTCCTGCAGGACCTTATAGACAACAAAAAGGCATTCTCCACTGTCAAAGTGTACTTGGCTGCTCTTTCAGCATGCCATGTGGGCTTCAATCACAAAACTGTGGGCCAACACCCACTGGTTTGTCGTTTCATGAAAGGAGCCAGGAGACTGTTGCCTGTCTCCAAACCATGTCTCCTCTCACTGTTGTGCTTCAGGCTCTCATTGTCCATCCCTTTGTCTGTCCAGGAGATCTGTGCTGCTGCTAGTTGGTCATCTCCCTTGACTTTCGCAAGGTTTTATAGACTGGGTGTCACGTCTCAGGGTCTGTCCCATGCTGTCCTCAACATGAGTTCTTCTGGAGATGTGCCCTGAGCTTTGGCTCTCTCAGGGGACTTGGCTAGCATTTTGTCATTGCGATAAGCTTGTCTGGCAATACGGGACTCTCCATACCCCATAGTGAGACATCGAAACAAATGCTATGAACTATAGGTTACATTTGTAATCCCGGTTCTCTTAGTAGCACATGTGAGATGTCTCACCAGACCACCCATCTTGCTGCTAGAGTGAAGCGAGAAGAGGTGTGCTTATTGAATGACAGGCGGCGTCATGCCCATGGCATTTATAGGGGGTGCCAATGTCATAACATCGCCACTGCCAGCCACTCAGGGCTGGCGCATTGGTATAGGGCTTCTGTGAATATGCGAGGGGGCATATCCACATAGTGAGACATCTCACTCATGCTACTCAGAGAAGCGGGGTTACAAAAGTAACCTATGTAAACTATGTGCTTGTGTAGGACATTTGTGCCCACTTTCGAAGTACATACACTTTTGCTTTTAAATACACAAGCTTATCTAATTCATATTTTAACCAGTCAGCAATTAGAACAAGAAAGTTGTTTTATAAATATGCAACATGTCTTTAATGCATATGGATAATAAATCTTTGCATTTTACAATAGTATGTGTTCTCTTTCAGCACTGCAGTACTGTGAGCAGTGACGGGGCAGATGGAGACATTTACCTGTACAACAAACCAGGAGGACAGGGCACAGGGGGCAAAGGTACAGCTACGGTCAGCGTACTACAGCTGCTCTTATTGTGATGATTATACTTCCAGATCTGTCTCACAGGTATCGCCTGCATCACCCTGTCGTTTCTGAATGGAGAAGGTGGCGCAGTGCCCATCCAGGTGCAAAGGACAGAGAGCAGCTTTCTGACCTTAGACACCGAGCATTACGAGGAGTTGACCATGGTGCTGAAGGTGCCCTCTGGCTTCAACAGCTCAGGAGAAGCCAATGCAAAGGACACTGGTAAGTGCCAAACCGTGTCTCTACTCTCCTGTAGCATGTGACTGAGATGTATGTGCTGCCCTTTCCTCACAGAACCACAGCTGTATGTGCGCTTCAACATCTGGGAACAAGGAAACATCAGCCCACTGCAGCTGAGCGACAAACTGCAAGGGGCGCTGCGACATGCTCTGTGTGATGTAGTAATGGAGCTCCAAATGCTACCCAATCTGCTCTGTGTGGAGGTGTCCTACCAACAGGCCAAAGCCTCCAGAGAAGAGGCAAAAGGTAAGACACTGCAACGACTAATAAAAGGTTCTTACAAAAGCATGAGCTTTGACCTCTCCATCTTGTCCCGTGGAATACATGGGTTTGAGAAGTGCGCATGGGTTTTACTGCTTCAGATAAATATTTGACAGTTGGGCTCCTTCTCACTTAAAATGATTGTAAATATTTTAGGGATGGGCGATATATCAGTTCTAACATCGATACAGATTCTTCAATATTGGGCCTGTGCGCCCTTTATGAACAGACTTATGAGGAACAATGGAAATAGAAGAGCAAATATATGGCTGTATGTGACACAAGAATGTAATAAAGTATTATTATTTCTAAGCTGTTTTAAATCAATACCAGACCCTCTCTAAGTGCATTGTTAATTAGAGCCTGACTGATATATCGGTTGGCCGATATTATTGATCGATATGGGCACCTGGAAACATATCGGCCGATATGTTTGCAGATATGGGCCGATATTTCAAGTGGGCATGTTATACCTCGTTATAAAGCTCAGACTCTCTACATTATGTTAATTTAATCCAGTTTACAGACAGATAAATGTCCTAATATGTGGCTCCGCATCAGTATTTATCTGCAGTCATTTGTCTGTGTGTGTGGCTGCACTGTCCCTGAACACACCCCCAGAATCACGTCACTCATCTGCACTTGTTTACACTCGCAGACAGTAAGGGGTGGCATGGTTCACAAAAAAATAAATAAATAACCGTTTGGTTCGCTTGTCACGGTTCGGGACGTGTGCGTACCGTACGGTTTCCATGGTTACCGACTTGCGCATTGTAGCCTCGTGCCCGTATGTGACCTGTTTCGCTTTGGTGCAAAAGAAGAGGTGTGGAGGGTGGGTGCTGCGCCTCACATGTAGAAATCGCAAGTAGGAGAGAAGAGGGCCACCCGGAGATAGAGGATGCGCCCATGTCTTTACCTCGTGGGGCTACGCTCTGTGTTTGTCAGTGGGGGGGCCGATCGGGCTTAACTGGGCGTGTTTAGCCATGCAGTGGAGCCAGGTTCTAAGGGCCTGGCATGCGTGTTTCGCCCTACGCGAGCGTAAAAACTGCAACTTTTGGAAAGTGACTGAGAGCGACTCCACTGTGCGTGCTAGACGCGCATATGGAGCAGCATGTGCGCGCTTAAATTTCAGAAAACAGGATCCATCCTTTTTTTTGACACTCTACGCGAGCATAGGCGATACACCCTGTCAAAATACACAGAGAGCACGAATCTTTGGTTGTTTTTGTGCGTTTACCATCAGCACAACGTGCACTAGGGGCAGATCTGCGTCGTATGAAAGAGCCCAGGTCCAGAAATAAAGTTAATAAATGCTTTAAAATTTACTTTTGAAATCCTGTCTTTTGCTGTGGTGAGTTTGTACAAATACAAGTGTGTTCAGCTGTTTCACTGTGGACCCGATACAAGTGGCTAAGCGCGATCAGTCAGGTTTGATTGGCTTTCCTATTGGCGGTCTTGGAGCCAGTGCTGCATGTGTGCGTGTGCCCTGCTGCGGCTGCTGGTTGCTGGTGGAGCTGCCTTTGCGTTCGTGCGCGGCTGTGGTTTCACGAGGTTACACACGTAAACGCTGACGCGTATTTCGCTCTACGCAAGCATAAAAATTGCAACTTTTGGATGGGTAACCTTGCACCCAGGGGCGCAATCTCACTAAACCAAGTATCCCGACTCCTGAGGAGGGTTAGGGAGGTGGTAACATTTTTTCAGCGAAGCACAACAGCTGCCTATGTCCAATAATAATGTGCTTAAAGTCAAGTCAAATTCAGTTTGTGCATGATTACATTACTAACTATACTTTTATAACTTTTTTAATGCTGTGTCCTAAATTGTGGATAATTAAGGTAACATAGCGTATGATAAAGTATATTTCTGGAGATTAAAGATTAAAAAGAAAAAAATTCTACAAGAACTGTATCGAACCAAAAAACGCGACCTTAAACCACAATACAAACTGAACCGTGGATTTTGTGAACCGTGCCACCGCTAGCAGACATAGATCCAAACACTGAGATTATATTCTTTTTACGGATAATCAGTTTGAGTCTGGATTAAAAGGACATTTGTTAGTGCATACTTGTAATGTGAGGAGGAGCCTGTGTCAGTGGTGAGTGTTGGAAATATGTCGACTTTGTAGCTTGTTTTGGTTCGTTCTGATAGGTTAGCGTTTAGCTGCTGTAGCTCTCACACATAAACAGGCTGTTTTCTATTGGTCTATTGTAAAGAGACTGTATATTTGTTACTGGACCTGCATTGATATATAAATGAGTTGTAAATAGAGGTGTGAATTATGACATTTGCGCATATAATTACAGCGCATTTAATCACCGCTGCGCGCAGCATTTACGGCTAAAAGGTAATGGCGGTAGCTTCTTTACTAGCTAGTAGTGATGGGTCGGTCGCGAACGGAGCGGCTCTTAGAGCCGGCTCTTTGAAGTGAACGACGGGAGCCTGATCCTTATTGGGAGCCGTGTTTTCTCTTTCTCTGACTTTATTTCTCTTCACGCAGACTCAGACTCGTGGTAGTTTGACAGCAGCAGCGGCTGAAAACGAAACTTACAGAAATATGCGTGTGCCTAGGATAAAAAACAAACAAACTTGCATGTTTGGCTGTAGTTCAGTATAAAATAAATAAACCAGGACTAATCTTGGGCTCAAGAGAGGGCGAGAGATAGAGACCGAGTCCCGACACTCAGTCCTGGTTCAGTTCTGGTTTAGTGCTGTTTTACACATGGTTTAGATCAGTTTTAGTCCTGGTTTAGTCCTTTTTCAGTCCTGGTTTAGTCCTGCTTTAGATCTGTTTTAGACCTGCTTTAGTCCTGGGTTAGTCCTACTTGCAACAAAATAATCTCAAGAGTAGAGCCCGACCGATATGGATTTTGTTGTGACCGATATGAAATCGATATAATGGTAGTTGGAGCTGCGATAGCAGCACACGCAGATTTCTGAAAGTTTCGTTTTCAGCCGCTGCTGCTGTCTAACTACGGGTCTACATGCGGCATGAAGAGAAAAAGTGAGAAAAAGAGAAAACACGGCTCCCAATAAGAAACAGGCTCCTGTTGTTCGCTTCAAAGAGCCGGATCTAAGAGCCGCTTCGATCGCGACCGACCCATCACTCCTAGCTAGTAAACTATCACTATTAGCCTTTAGCCGTAAAAACGTGCACACCGCGGTAATTAATTATATGCATAAATGTGGATCATTCACATGTCTATTCACAGCTCATTTACATATCAATGCAGGTTCAGTAACAAATATACGGCCAATATAGTCACTTTACAATAGACCAATAGAAAACAGCCTGTTTATGTGCGGGAGCTACAGCAGCTAATTGCTAACAAAACCTAAACTAGCTTCAAAGTCGATGTATTTCCAACACTCACCGCTCACACAGGCTCCTCTTCACATCACAAGTCTGCACTAATAAATGTCCTTTTAATCCAGACTCAAACCGATTGTCCGAAAAAGAATATAATCTCAATGTTGCGCACGGCTGCGGGTGTAAACAAACACACGTGAGTGAAGTGACGTCACTGTGGTGGTGTGTTCAGGGACAGTACGGACACAGACAAATTACACCGTAGATAAATACTGATGCGGAGCCACATATTAGGACATTTGTCTGTCTGTAAATTGGATTAAATGAACATAATGTAGAGAGTCTAAGCTTTATAACGAGATATAACATGCCCACGTGAAATATCGGCCCATATCAGCACGCATATCGGCCGATAGCCGATATGTCTCCAGGAGCGCATATTGACTGGCTGATAATATCGGCCAGCCGATATATCGGTCGGGCTCTACTCAAGAGCCACTTGGGAGTCGAAAGAGCCAGCTGCTTTTAGTGAGCCGAGCCAAAAGAGCCGGTTCTCTAAAAAGAACTGGAATACCCATCACTAGTAGCTAGAATGTGATACAAAAATGCCATTGCCCCAATTTAAAATCCACGAGAGCCAAACCTAAGTTTTTAAACAATTCAAGATTTACAGTGAATTTTTACATCACTAAATATATCGGTGATTATATCGGCTATCAGCAGCTCCAACTCCTGTTTTATCGGTATCATATCGGCCACAACAAAATCCATATTGGTTGGGCCCTATTGTTAATGATTATGCATTGTGGTCAGACCCAGCTTCTTCAATGCTGGATGTGAAGGACAAGCAGCGCAGCGGATCACGACTCCTCAAAGGAAGTCCTGCCCCCATCGTGTTCAGCCAGGGCACAGGTGCCACTCCCCTGTCTCCAGAGTCCACCACCCCCACAAGCAAGAGCACCCGCCGCAGCTTCTGGGACATCCTGGTCAGTGCAGCTACTGTTCATATATGACTAAACCGTGATTCTTTTTAGGGATAGGCAATTAAAAAAAAACAAAAAACAGATTGTCTTTGATATCTGTATCAATCAGAACGGTACTGATATTCAGTACCTACATTTTTCTGCACTGACCCAGTTCATTCCCAGTTTGTCCTCAGCTATTTTCAAGGAATCTCCCCTATGAGCCATTTCAGATTTGGCTGAAAAAAATTCTAAAAATATCTAAAATCACCAAATGAAAGAATCTCAAATTTTAGCTCAATCCCTTGAGTCGTTCCTGAGTTATGGCTTGTTGAAATGTTGGCACCATGCTCACTTTTTTGGAAGACTTAATTTATAGCCATGTTTGAGAGACCATAACTTCATAAAAACTAGAGCTAGGAAGCTGAAAGAGTTAGATGTTGATAAAAAATTTTACCAGAGAAACTTTGGCAATTCTGATTAGTTTAAAGTAATAAAAACATCTACTATTAACTTCCTTCATTTCAAACTGAATTTTTGAAAATGAGCACTCATGGGTCATTTTTGGAGTTTAGGTACTTTTCCACCTGCTAAAAAGGTACCATTACCTTAAACACTATTTGCTTATTATAAGGAAAGACAGTTGGAGATTATTTGTGGTACATTGTTTGGCAAAGTGTCATTAATCCTTTGAGAAAATTTAACTACTTACTCTGTACATAATTATGAAAAAAGTTTTGTTTGTATTATTTATTCAAATTTTATTTGAAGATTTTTTTTTATCTCACAAAGAAACAACTTTTCATGATGTATAAGTAAAACAACAAAAGTTAAGATAGTATTGATGGAAACTAATCAAAGGCAAATTACATTTGGAATACTCATTGCCTCTTAAATCACGTTGTCTATGATTCTATAACCATGACTTTCAGTACCACCATATGTGTATTATTTTTGCACAAAAATATTACAAGAAAACAGTTACATTAAAAAGGAAAAATTTGATACTGACACAAAAGTTACCAAAATACAGTAATCTGGCGGTTATTTTAAAAATTCTCTGTGAAACACAACCTCAGCAGAAAATACCAACATACTGGAAAAATCTGCCTATTCTGGTCCCTTTGCTGCCTCCATGTACAGTCCCTGACAAAAGTCTTGTCGCTTATCCATTTTGTAGAAACAAAAGCTTATAAACTGACTTTAAATTAATCGATTGGTTTTAGAAATGTCTCATATGAAAGCTAAAACCCTCCCAAATTATGCTCAATATACTAAAATAAATTTGCTTCACTGAAGAAAGATTGATCATTTAATGAACACAGAAAGGTCAGATTTTGGCAAGACAAAAGTCTTGTGGCCTTGTCATATGATGCACCCAATCCTAGATTACAGCCTCACCTGTGATCAGTTACTGATCAATCAATTAGTGTTTGTGTATAAAAAGACCCCCAGCACACCAGACCTTCACATCAACTGCAACTTGACCTCTGACAACATGCCTAAGATCCACCCTGAGACCAAAGCATTAATTATCAAGAGGCTGAAGACCAGATCCACTGCTGAGGTGGTGACACCTTCAATGTGTCTCAGCGTCAAGTACAAAGAATAAGAAAAAGATCTGAAATGACTGGAGATGTTTTTGACCAGCCCAGGTCCGGCAGACTCCGCAAGACAACTGCTCGGCAGGACCGTTTGTTGATTTGAAAATCCAAGGCCAGCCCCTTTTCCACTGCAGCAGACTCCACCAGGCCTGGTCACCTCAAGTCCCTGTGTCAACCAGAACAGTTTGTACAATTCTGTCTCGAAATGGCCTCCATGGTCGAATCAGTGCACAGAAACCAGCTCTAAACAAAAGGCAATTAAAAAAACGTGTGGCATTTGCCAAGGCCCACAGCCTGCTAAAAGGATGGACACTGGAAAAGTGGCAGAAGGTGGATTTCTCAGATGAATCCTCGGTTGAATTACATCACAGCCGCCGCAAATATTGCAGGAGACCTACTGGAGCCGCATGGATCCAAGATTCACCCAGAAAACAGTTAAGTTTGGTGGTGGAAAAATCCTGGTCTGGGGTTACATCCAGTATGGGGCTGTGCGAGACATTTGCAGGGTGGAAGGCAATATCAATATCCTAAAATATCAAGAAGTATTAGCTCCTCTTACATTCCCAACCATAAAAGGGGTCAAATTTTGCATCAGGATGGTGCTCCATCACATACTTCTATCTCTACATCAAAGTTTCTCAAGGTGAAGAAGATCAAGGTGCTCCAGGACTGGCCAGCCCAGTCACCAGACATGAACATCATTGAGCATGTCTGGGGTAGAATGAAAGAGGAAGCATGGAAGGCAAAACCAAAGAATCTTGATGAACTCTGGGAGGCATGTAAGACGCTTTCTTTGCTATTCCTGATGACTTCATCAACAAATTGTATGAATCATTGTTGAACCGCATGGATGCATCCTTCAAGCTCATGGAAGTCATACAAGATATTAAATATGGATCTCACAGCACCACTACTTAATTCACTGACGTTATGCAACATATTTTTGTATTTGAAGTAAATTATTTGTTCAATTTTCTGTAGGCGACAAAACTTTTGTCTTGCCAAAATCTGACCTTTCTGTATTCATTAAATGATCAATCTTTCTTCAGTGAAGCAAATTAATTTTAGTTTATTGAGCATAATTTGGGAGGGTTTTAGCTTTCATATGAGACATTTCTAAAACCAATAAATTAATTTAAAGTCAGGTTATAAGCTTTTGTTTCTACAAAATGGATAAGTGACAAGACTTTTGTCAGGGACTGTAGATCATCTGTGTTGGTATCTTGCACACTAAGTGTTCCTAACAACTAATGAACTGTAGAAGTAATGTTTGGATCCGTCATAATCTGCAGTGTCAAGGCGATCATTTCATCATCTTCTTCTCTGAACTTCTGGTTCCTTAATACAACAGATTCTGTGCTGAAATGGGACCCAACATGGTTCTGTCGATGTTCAGGAGGCCAGATGAGAGTTCTGTCATCTCCATTCATGAATCTCACTTAGACATCACCATGTTCATCTGAACGCTCTGAAATATTCCCAATGAATCACCTGATGTCATAAATACATGCACTGTATTGACCTGGCTGGTACAGAAAGACATCTGGCACAATCTCATTTTGTATTTCAGAAACTGACACTTCAGTTCATAAATCTTGAGATATTCTCCTCATTTCTAATTTACCATTTGACACCGGAATGAAACTGTGGTGTGATCTTGTACCGTTCAGTCTTTGTCTTGCTGTAGAGCTCTTCTAGTTTGGAAGTAAATTCATGGTTTATAATGTCTTTAGAGCTTATAAAGAAAAACTTCACATTCTTTATGTTTTGTGAAGCCCACTCAAACATCTGGAGTGTGGTCAGTATTTGATTGCTTTCAGTTGTCTGAAAACTGGTCCTTGCAGCCGAGCCTTTTACTGTGCCACCAAAACCATCACAAGCAATGTACCACAAATAATCTCCAGTTGTCTTCCCTTATAACAAGCAAATAGTGTTTAAGGCTATTAAAGGTAATTAAACCTTTCTAGCAAGTGGAAAAATACCTAAACTCCACCAAAAATGACCCATGAGAGCTCATTTTTAAAAAATTCCATTTGAAATGAAGGGAGGTAATAGTAGATGTTTTTATTACTTTAAGCAGGGCGACTGATTTCATATGAACTGACTGACAAATAATTATACAGACATGGACAAAATTGTTGGTACCCCTGTGGTAATTAAAGAAAAATCAACAATGGTCACAGAAAGAACTTGAAACTGACAAAAGCAATAATAAATAAAAAGCTTACAGAAAAATAACCAATAAAAATCAGATACTGCTTTTTAATTGCTGTTCAACAGAAAAATAAAAAAATTAAAAAACTAATGAAACTGGCCTGGATAAAAATTATGGTTCCTCTAGAAAAGACTGTAAATAATTGGACAATATGGACACGTTAAATTGGGTGTGTCTCTAATCTGCATCACAGCTGTTTTCAAACTTGTCCTCAGTCAGTCTGTCTGTTTAAAGGGGGACATGTGTCATTGTGCTGTTTGGAGACATGATGGACACAACACTGAACATGGACCAGAGAAAGAGAAGAAAACTGTGTCAGGAGACTAGAAAGAAAATGATAGACAAACAGATTAAAGATAAAGACAATAAGACCATCTCCAAGCAGCTTGATGTTCCTGTGATTACAGTGTAGTGTGACTACATCTGGCCTCACATGAGCATCAAAATATGTAGGAGAAATCTACATGGGCTCACATGGAGGTGGGGGGCCTCCTTGTGAGCCAATGTAATCAATTACCTATGTTAATTAATTTGGTCAGTTTCAGGTTATGTCAGTGACAATTGTTGATCTTTCATTGCCAGAGGGATAGCAACAATTTTGTCCATATCTGTATATAATTGTTGTAATTGTTTTACAAAAGTGAAAAGTTTGTGATCTTTACTTTATCTTAAGATATATTTGTGGGTCTTACTATGTTTTTTAAAGGGCTAAATATCAGCAAATATTGTTTGTCAGAGAGTAGTGTTCTCACGATACTTACTTATTAATTAAATTTCAATACTAAGGAATAGAGTAGGGTGGGATGAAGAGTCTTTTAGCTACAGCTGCTCAAAGATGCGCAACTTTCCAAAGCTTGAGCGAGGCACGTAACTTTTTCAAGCCTGTGCCAAATGTAAAGACAAATAGATAACATTGTGGCAAAATCATGCCACGAGATCTCATCCCATCAGTCGTTAATGTAGATTCCATAGTGTCCCAAGGGCCTATGTGCTCTTAAACTTGTGATACAGCTCAAGATCATTCTAATGCCATTCAGGAAACATTCATTTCTGTCCTCTAAATGTTACTTTTTTAGTATTGATACCTGCTCAAATGAGTATCTTGGTTCAATACTATTTTAAATATTGATTATTATCTGACTTTCTATACTTTTGACAGCTCTACCACAGAGTAACTAATGTCTTGTAATGCTTCAGAGTAAACCCGACTCCACTGACCTGGTTAGTCCAAAAACCACAGATGACATCGTCCAGGAGAGGGGTGAGGAGGGCAGAGCCACAAGGCGCAGACACAAGACAGAGACAGTTAAACAGCAGTGGGGTCAGGAGAGAGGCGGGCTGATGGAGCTGGAGCAACAGAGGTACTCCCATAAACACAGCGCACTACCTCATCTCACCACCTTTCAAAGCCAAGAGAGTCTGGCTGAAGACCTCCACCCAGAGGACCCTACCCCCACCAGGAAGCAACTCCTTCCACACGTTCCTCACCATTTTTCACGACTTTACTTACTAAACGACTTCATTACACTTTGTATCAGGTTTTACCTTGTTCATGGACTATTAAAGGTCCAGGATTAAGCAAACTTGACTCTTGTGAGCTTTAAGTCATGTTAGAATGCAACCTCTTCCAAAACACACCTAGAACTGTACTTTGTTTTATTAAGACATATTTGAGAAACCTTTTATTGTTATTAGTCTGTCTATCTCCAAAGCTTAAAATCCTCTGCTCCACCTTGTGTAGTGTAGCTCATTTTACCTTTTGTTCAGTAGAGATTGGCAATTCCAGGGCTGAAATTTTCCAAATAATTCTGTTGAAGATGTAAAGAAATTAAAAATGCAGTGGAGCACTTCCTGTATTGCCATTACATTACAAGGTGGGAGTGTTTTCAGTTTGAAACACAACCTAAATATGCAGGATTTGTGCTTTAAACGTGTGAATGAAACAAAACACTGGGTATTTTTTTAAACAACATTATAACTTATCAGAAAATATTGTAAAATAGCCCCTCGTGAAGCTCATTTCAAATTATGAAGCTCTTTTCAGTGACATTTAATAAATAGATTTCATTTCTGTAGGCCTTGTTTCTGGTTAGGAAATGTGTTTGGGTTTGTATTTTATGTAAAACTGTCAGTTGGGTGCTCCTTTTAATGGAGGTCTGCCGTCTGGGTCCTCTTCAACAATGCTCTTTGCTTGTGTGTGCAGGAGACATCTGGCCCAGCTTGAGGAGGGAGATGTAGGAGCACTGCATCCTGTGTATCAGCATGCCTGCGAGTCCTGGATAATGTTTATGACCCAACTGGGTTTGTTAAAATATGTTACACTCTATGCAGTATGTAACAGTATGTCATTGTATCACTTGGAGTGTGATGCAATAACTAGCTGGACAAGCCCTTAGTAGAGCCACACCAGCAAACCTCTAATGTGTTTCTACATAAGGGCAGTTACCACCGGAAATTTTTGATTACGCTGACATACGCTTGTCTCCTGCATTTCATTCTTGCATACCGTATTTTGCGCACTATATGGCGCTCTGGATTATAAGGCGCACTGTCATTGACTGATCTATTTTCAAACTTTTTTCACATATAAACCGCACCAGATTATAAGGCGCATTAAACAAAACACAACAGATAAGTCAGTCAAACTTTATTTAATGCGTTCACAATAACTCTCAAATTTGTTCAATTGTAATGCGTAAAATAAAAAAATACTGTCTGAGACACTAAATTGTTAGCGTATTCACAATAACTCATCAAACAGTTGAGCGATTCCGGCGTCCAGCACGCCCACATCCCTCTTGTCATTGTCCGAGTCAGTGTGGTTACTATTCCCTGGCAGTTCAGTGATGATTCCCATTTTGGTGAAAGGTCGGACCACAGTTGATACTGATCCTTAGCCCGGGCGTCCACGATCCGTTGGCAGATCGTGGCGTAAGTTGCTCGCCGCTGTCTCTCTGTCTTGGTGAATGTGTGTTCTCCTTCTCTCATCCACTGCTCCCACGCAGCTCGCACTTTCACTTTATAACAGCCTTGAGTTTAAAGTGGACATTGTAAGTGTGTTTCTTGACAGGTGCATTTTGATATTAAAAGGAATCACAGTATGTATTACTCCGCAATGCTCCTGACTACGGGAGCCTTAATGCTGCAAGTGGTGTGGCTTTGTAGTTTACTAAAGTTGTACTAAGACACCCCAATAAATTCATATATAAATGGCTCTGGATTATAAGGCGCGCAGTTATTTTTGGATGAAATTAAAAGTTTTTAAGTGCGCCCTATAGTGCGGAAAATATAGTAATTCTGCCTGGGTCCTATTTAGGTTTATGATTCTAGAAAAGATTGAAGTTTAAAATTGACTTCCAGAAGCTTTCTACCATGTTATAACATAAAAACATGCCTGAAGAGGTTTTATATGCCATCCAAGTAGGTTTGAGTAATCTTGCGATCTCTCCTGGACACTATTTGCACCCTTCTTATGGTTTGCAGTAGAGCCCGACCGATATATCGGCTGGCCGATATTATCGGCTAATATGGGCACCTGGAGACATATCGGCTATCGGCCGTTATACTTGCTGATATGGGCCGATATTTCACGTGGGCATGTTATATCTCGTTATAAAGCTTAGACTCTCTACATTATGTTCATTAATCCAATTTACAGACAGATAAATGTCCTAATATGTGGCTCCGTATCAGTATTTATCTGCGGTGTAATTTGTCTGTGTCCGTACTGTCCCTGAACACACCACCAGAGTGACGTCACTTCACTCGCGTGTGTTTGTTTACACCCGCAGCCGTGCGCAACATTGAGATTATATTCTTTTTCGGACAATCGGTTTGAGTCTGGATTAAAAGGACATTTATTAGTGCAGACTTGTGATGTGAGGAGGAGCCTGTGTGAGCGGTGAGTGTTGGAAATACATCGACTTTGAAGCTAGTTTAGTTTTGTTAGCGGTTAGCTGCTGTAGCTCCCACACATAAACAGGCTGTTTTCTATTGGTCTGTTGTAAAGTGACTACATTGGCCGTATATTTGTTACTGGACCTGCATTGATATGTAAATGAGCTGTGAATAGACGTGTGAATGATCCACATTTATGCATATAATTAATTACCGCGGTGCGCAGCATTTACGGCTAAAGGCTAATAGAGATAGTTTACTAGCTGGGAGTTATGGGTCGGTCGCGATCGAAGCGGCTCTTACAGCGAACAACGGGAGCCTGCTTCTTATTGGGAGCCGTGTTTTCTCTTTTTCTCACTTTTTCTCTTCATGCCGCCTGTAGACCCGTAGTTTGACAGCAGCAGCAGCAGCGGCTGAAAACGAAACTTTCAGAAATCTGCGTGTGCATAGGATTAAAAAAAAGTGCGTATTTGGCTGCAGTTCAGCATAAAATGAATAAACCAGGACTAATCTTGGGCTCGAGTGCAGGAGAGAGATAGAAACCGAGTCCCGACACTCAGTCCTGGTTCAGTTCTGGTTTAGTCCTGCTTGCAACAAAACAATCTCAAGAGTCGCTTGGGAGCCGAAAGAGCCAGCTGCTTTAGTGAGCCGAGCCAAAAGAGCCAGTTCTCCAAAAAAAACAAAAACAAAACTGGAATCTCCATCACTAGTAGCTAGAATGTGATGCAAAAATGCCATTAGGCCAATCTACTGTATGTAAATATGATGTAAAGAGTCAAAATAACAATAAATGTTGCCTAAATAAACCCAATTTAGAATTCACTAGAGCCAAACCTAAGTTTTTTAATCAATTCAAGATTTACAGTGAATTTTTACATCACTAAATATATCGGTGATTATATCGGCTATCGGCAGCTCCAAGTACCATTATATCGGTTTCATATCGGCCACAACAAAATCCATATCGGTCGGGCTCTAGTTTGCAGTACAAGCTTGACTAAGATGCAGCCAGACAGACACATGTGAAATGAAGGAGCTCAGTGGCCATTTAACATTTACAAATAAAATCAGATTTATCTCACTTTAGATTTACAAAGTTTAGTGCTTCCATGCATGTCCAGATGCATGTCAATCACAGCCATTGCAAAATTCGAGATTCACTGGTGACCAGACTCACATGTTTTGTAAAGTATTAAAGAAATGTGTATTCAGGATTCCAGGCAAGTGAAAAAATAAACTTTAAGGACAGACAAATTAATTACACTGGTGAAAAGCTGGTGTTCCCCTTTGGGATCTGAATACTTGAAAAGATTGTCAAAATCTCAGTGGGATTTTGCTGGTCAGTCAGTCAGTTAGTCAGTAAATACAGTACATACATAATAATGAATGGTGCCTGTCTATGTGCACAGGCTGCCCATCCATCCAGCAGTGTATGGCAGAGCTGGCCTCTCACTTCCTGCTGCCCTCACTCCTCACAGAGATCATCAGTCTGGTCAGCTCTCTGGCCAGCGACACAGTGGTCAAAGCCTTCCAGAAGACCAGGTGAGAATGCCTATATCAAAAAACCCTCTGGGACATTGTGTTTGGGTTCTTTTGGTGCTGCAATGTTGGACCTCAGACTGTTCAAGAGCTCAGTGAGAATCAGGTACAGATCTGGAAAGAAAGTCAGAATTCTATGGAAGAATTTGCTCACAGTTTGCATTGATTTATAATTGATTGAAATATATACCCATATGAAATTATGACATTAAATTCAAGAATGTGAAAACCAATTACTGATAGCACTAAAACCATGCTGTTAAATGTCAAAAATGGTATATATTTCCTGTTTTAGTTGCCCATCCTCTGGAGAGCTGTTCCTTCCTCTGGCTGTGGGGCAGAATCTCATGCCCTCCCTGAACTCCTCAAGGAGCTTTATTCTCATCGGACGCAACTTTCATCAGTGGCACAACAGCACACAGCAAGGTAATCAGTGCTCTCCAATAACTCCGGGCATATTAGTTACCTCAGAAAATATTCATATGGATAATATTAGTAATGCCAATTGCTCGGTTTCAGATGACATCACAACCTTCTGTAAGCCAGTAATATTAAAGATCACATATTGTGCTTGAGGCTGCTATATAGTTCAAATGTACAACAACCCTGGATCATTCTTATTATTTACACATTTTAAATTGCAATTGTCATCTAAAACAATTTAATTCAAGAAAATGTCCGCAGACTATCACTTTAGAAAGATGAGGTGCCCAATGGGAGCTGTAAACCTCATCATCGCCGTAAACATCACAAACAGAGTTGGTGTTACAGATTTGTTGGGGCTGGTGTGTACATGGTTCATATGCACACGCCACAGAAAGCTGCCCTCTGCAGACAGATGCACAGGTATTAGCACAGACACCTGTCCCACGACCTCTGGGGTGCTGTCTGAATAAAATGTAAGCGTTCTTCTGTGGTTTCCTTTCTGCTCTGTCTGAAGTGGAGATGTAGTAGTAGTAGTTTATTCTGCCATTTTGCATAATTACAAAACAAAATAAAACCTAGACTACAACTCTGTGGATCATGACCGAAAGGGTTTAGTTTAGGGTGAAGTATAAAGTACTTATAATGCCTAACCCTATAAAACAATGACAGAATTCCAAGACAGAAAGCATTTACAATTTCACTTACAACTTATTGTATATTTAAGAGACAAAATATAAATGAATGCATAATTTATTCATTCCAGAGCTCTGTATCTTTCAAAACATAATGCTTTATACTCATATACTTTAACACGGCAGAAGTCTTTAAAAAAAAAGTATATAGACACTTTTTTAAAATCATCATTAAAATCATTTTTATGATTTCTATTATGTTTAAGCATTTCATATCCCTTTAGGGTAAAGTTATCAGGCCTGTCATTAATCCATGTTTCTCATGGAAGTGGAGGTGTGGTAGAAATAATCAGGTTTAACATTTGTGATTTTGCCTTTTCTTTTATTTCATGGAAAAGTACAATGTAATCAATAGGAAAAATTTTCTCTTGCTCCTCATCTGGTAGTAGTATCATCACATTCTAGAATCTGAAAACTACCAATAGACCCACAAAATGTAAAAAAAAACAAAAAACTCTCCAATAAATGTGACTGGAGGCAAAATGAAGTAGAAGACCATAAAACTATTTTCTAGCCTAAAAAAATTTGATTTGAGCTTCACAAAAAGTATAATTTGTGGTGAAGGATATAATACATCTGCAGATAAAATATGTGGTCAACATTTCATTCTCTATTCAGTAAAATCTAAAAATTTTATCATAAATCAAAATAAAATAATAAATACATTTTATCAAGCTCTTATTATAATCTCCTATAAAAGCAGACCTGTTATGCAAAATCAACTTTTCAGAGATATTAACCGCATTATAGTTGTAAGCACGCAGCACTAATGAGTGCAATTTCACAGTACGTGGAAAAATATTGTCCATGTGTTTGGCCAGAACGGTTGTTCATGTGAAACAATAGTTACGACTGTAACTGTGGTTCTATGAATCCTGGATGACCACCAGAGGCGGTGCTTCAAGCACTCGATGATCATCCTTGTGCATGCGCAGGTCGAGAATTTAATAACAAACAATGTGACCTTTGACCTCCAGTGACTCAGGTGAATCTATATAATCACGTGACACCGGAAGCTCACTCCCTCAAACCTTCTCGCGAAAGCACGAGGATTCCGAGGGACCGGGCACTCTGGCGATCATCCAGGATTCATAGAACTGCAGTTACATTCGTAACTATTGTTTCACATGAACAACCGTTCTGGCCAAACACATCCCTACTGACTGCCAGAGTCTTCAAGCAATGGCAATGACAAATACCAGCAAGATCACAAGGAATCATCAACTTAAGGAGAAACTGTACCTCACTGTGATGTAGAGGAGTGTTTCCAGAGAAATCAAGACAAGAGTCCCTTGTGGTGTGATACCAGACCTCAGATGGCAACAACTGCCCCTGTAAAGCATATGCTTTTGTTATAACCCTACGATCCAGTGCGCGAGGCACTGTTTTGAAAGGGCTTAACCTCTGTGCGAGCCAGCAAAACAGACAAACAAGCTATCAGACCTCTGCACAGAAGCTATGAAGTGAACATATGTCTCGAGCACATGTACGGAACACAGCAATTCAGTAGGTGTTCCCGCCTGAAAACGGGAAAGCTGTAGTGGCAGAGTGTGCTGTGTAGACAAGGGCACCTGGAACAAAAGTTGCATTAGGCCAAAGGGAAACCCCAGAAACATCAGGATGCCAGCAGCAACAGGATTCGGAAACACCAAAATATCCCGGTTACAACCAACATTAGAGCCATTCCACCGTGGATGCCAGCAGTTAGTGGCAGGAACATATACCTTTAAGGTAGCTGGCAAAGATCCCTGATTCAGCAACCCCTGCAGAAAGGTAAGAACCATGGAAACAGGGCATTGATTCGGGTCCTGCCCCCTGTCGCGACACCATGTGTCAAAGAGCCTCCACTTGTAAGAATACCACAATTGGTCATTGTGTCCCCTATTTCTCCGGCATATTCCGAGAAGGCTAAGCCGGGCCTTGTAGGGATCACACTCAGAGTTTCAGGCGACTGGGGTTGGGATGCAGAATCTGACCCCCCAGTCGCGACAGGAGATCCCTCCTGGAGGGAAGACGTCATGCAGGGCTGCTGCAAAGCCTGAGCAGCAGAGGAAACCAGGGCCTCGCTGGCCAGAATGCAGCCACCAGAAGAATGACCCGGAGCAGTGTCTGAAAAATCTGAGGAAATGGCGGAAACACATAAAGAAGGGTTCTGGGTCAGTTGTGAGTCAGTGCAGCCAGTGCAGAGAGCTGGCGCAATCCGCTAATGAAAATCAAAGGGGGAAGTGTGCCGGCTTCTGGGAGTCAAATACAGTTTTTTTCTGGGCTGTTAGACGTGCTCTTAAGCCTCTAACCCCATCAAAAAACGACTGCTCGCCCCGCAAGCCAGAGGGCCCTATACACGAATCCTATACACGAATCCACTCGGGTGTCCCAGCACGACTTCAGTAAACCACCAAACCGCACCACCCGCACCATGAACGCGCCAAAGTCCGACTGATCCATATAACTGTTGTGTTTCGTTTAAAGTCTGGTGCGGTTTATTTGTGAAAAAAGTTTGAAAATAGATCATTTAATGACAGTGCGTCTTATCATCCAGAGAGCCTAATAGCGCGGAAAATACGGTAGATCCATGTTCACCTCCCAAATGTGGTTCACCACCTCTGGGTGAAGCCTCCATTCTCCTGGCAACGGCCCTTGTCGAGACAGGAAGTCCACTAACGTGTTCTGAACCCCCAAAATGTGCACAACTCTCAGACTAGCAAAACACGGCGCAGCCCAAGTTAGGGGAAGTTGCGCCATCCTCAGCAAGCTCTCTGACCGGGTGCCCCCCTCGTGGATTAAAGTGAAAAAACTACGCTGGTGTTGTCGGACCTCACTACCACATCTGGGCTCGACATTAACGGTTGTCCGCTGGCCCGGGGCAACTAAAACTTTTGTAAAGTACTCTCCTCTGCCTAGTTGCCCGAGCGGGCAAGTGAAAATAAAGCGACACAGTCCCCCAATAATAATAACTATTTATTTGGTTGATAAACAAAGTGACGGGTTGTCTGTTCATAACGCATTTTTTTCTTTTCCCTGAAAGAAACAGATAAGTCCAACCTTTTGAACTGCCACGAAATACGGCCGCGGTGACAAGTGCTCACTTCATGCGCGCTGCTGTGCGCATCACAGTCAATGTTTTGTCTTTCCCACTGACTGTAGGCATCTTAAATAAAACGGCCGTAGTATTACACTGCCTCCTGCTCCACAATCTTTGCCCAGTCAATCAGAAATGTTCCTTACTGCGAACTGTGCCACTCCACCTCTTTTTTCTGTCTCTCATTCTACCGTCACATCTCACATATCTAGGAAACTTCATGACGCGTCGGAATGAAAAGCGAACTCAGGGCTAAACCCAACTCCAAACATTTGCCATATATTTATCAAGCCTACTCACTAATCTCAGTAATTAGTTCAAATGCATAGGTTATTATTATAGCCCGTGCTTTTGGGAATAACATTCACTGGGGCGGTACCGGGGCGTCTCCAAGCGATCCGTGCGCTCTGTGAGCGGGGCGTGTGTCACCGGAGGACCACGCCGCGTGACATTAAACCCGCTTCTCTACTTCAGTCCTCATGGAGCCCTGTACGTGCACACTCCCACATCGTGCTGAGATCCATTCATAGAGAACAGTCCTACCTGTGCGCCTCCAGTGCGTCGCTCCAGTGCCACGCGCGTTAATCCCGTGTTTTCTTAACCCATTACGCAGCGACGAGAAGCGCGAACAAGGACCTAAATTTAAGCAGTCCAAACTAAGTCCACAGTAGAGGACCGAGATATGTAGTAGTTTTCTTCATAAGTGCGCAAAGGGTATAGTTACAATTTATGTTTTTATGCAGATTAATGGCCAATATTATTAAGAAAATACTTTTCAGTCATTGAATAACTTTATATATATGTTAATTCATTTTTTTAAAAACGGAGTAGGCTACTATACACGGTTCAGGTATAACTCCAAATGCGCACGCAAATAAACGCACAGCTGATTGTCACGAAGACTGACCTGCGCTTAAGTTTCGCTTTTGTTTCTCGTTTTCGGCACTTTATATAAAAGGCAGCGCATGGAGCATGTGCTCTTATTTTGATTAATAACTTTACGCTTTTACTACGCGGAGGAGGACGGAGAATTATGGAGAACTTTAGGCAGATTCGTTTGGATACATCTTTACGCACACGCGCTCCACGCTGGATATATTTACCAATGAGGAGCAAGGTTTTTGCGGAGTTTTTCGGACACTGCAGGCTGTGACTGGATGTGGATTTATTATTACGCACTTTGGCTTTGAGACACTATAAACGCCCCGCACTGGAGACTGGGTGTTTTC